ATAGCATTCCCACCTGATATCAACAAACTTGCTAAAATCATCAAATTCATCCATCTCAATAGATTAGTTTCAAAACTAAAATTGATTAACAATCTATATTGTTTCTTTCAATTTGATTAAAATATATTCTTAATATTATAAAGTTGCGTTTTAATTGCTCTCACTGGTAATAATGTGTAGTTTAGAATGTAAGTTTAAACACCAGAACCGACTAGTATAGCACACCATAACTAAATTAATTAAAGTAATGCAATTGTGGTTTTTAAGTTTTAAGAGTGTATAAAAACTGGAGGCGCTGAAAAATAATTGGTTTTCAAAGAAATAAGTTTGGTAATCTCTGGCCTACACGCATCATGCGAGTCAACTATAACATATGTGTCAATAAACAGCGCCGATATCCGGCATTGAAACTTTATTCGAGAGTCCCTGTTTAAAAATATTTCAGCACAGGCAGTTTTTCTTGATGACAGTGATATAATGAAGAATAAATATTTTTGTTTATATATTTATAGTTTTTTATTACTTGATTGATGATGATTAAGTAAATTGTTGAACTAATAGGTAGTGAGGTATGCACACTAAGTCTTATTAATCACAAAGCAAGTTAAATTCTACACAGTCTGATCAAAAAGTATCGCGTATTGTGCATTTTTAAAAAGTATTGATTTATTCATGAATATCTATTTTGTCTCCTTCAAAGTAATCCCCTCGGATATAATGCACTTATGCCAACGTTTTTTTCCAATCCTTGAAGCACTTAAAAAAAATCATTTTTCGTGATCTTCAGCTCCTCCTTCGATGCCCTCATTATCTCCTCAATCATAGCGTAGCGTCGTCCTTTCATGGTCCTCTTCAGTTTTGGGAACAGAAAAAAGTCACAGGGGGTCAGGTCTGAGGAATACGGTGGCTGTGGGACCATTACTGTGTTGTTTTTGGATAAATATTTGCGCACAAGCAACGATGTGTGAGCAGGGGCGTTATCATGGTGCAATAGCCAGTTTTTGTTCTTCCACAAAGCCGGGCGTTTCTGGCGGATTACTTCGCGCAAATTGCGCATAACTTGCAGGTAATATTCCTTATTGACCGTACTACCCTATGGCAAGAACTCATGATGCACCATGCCCCTGCAATCGAAGAAAACTGTGAGTAAAACCTTCACGTTCGACCGAACTTGGCGCGCTTTTTTCGGTCTTGGCTCATGTGGCAGCTTCCATTGGGATGACTGAGCTTTGGTTTCCACGTCATAACCATAAACCCATGATTCGTTACCAGTTATGACCCTCTAGAGCACATTTGTGTCGTCACAGACTCAGTGCAACATCTCCTGAGCAATCTTATCGCGATGCTGTTTTTGGTCGAAATTGAGCAATTTTGGCACGAATTTCGCGGCGACCCGTCTCGTACCCAAATCATTACTTACAATCGAATGGCATGAGCCATTCGATATGTTTAGGTCCTCAGCAACTTCTCTAACGGTCATTCAAAGATTGGCCAATAATATTTTCTTCACTTTATAAATGTTATCGTCTGTTGTTGACATGCTCGGACTTCCAGCACGCTGTTTGTCGTTTACATCTGCTCGGCCTTCTGCGAACATTTTGTACCACCGATAAACGTTGCTTTGGTCCATGGTAGCTTCACCATATGCACCATGTCAACCATGTCAACATTCGGTATGCGTCCGCGCACTTTATTTTGTTTTTCACACAAAATTTAATACACATTCTTTGATCCATTTTTTGGAATAGGCAAAAATCGAAGACGAGCCAAAACACATCCAAGCAAAACAGCTGTCAAAAATTAACTAAACATTCAAATTGCCCGACCTTGTCAACATAAGTAAGGGACTGTGAGTGGAACAATGAGTACCAATATAAGGCTACAAAAAAATCAAATATACGTAGCCCGCGGAAATTCAAAATTCGTGATTCGTCATCTTAATTTTATATGCTCAGCGGAAAACAAAATCTTCAAGAAAGCTATATCTGATTAAATAAAATTATTTTGAACTCATAGAGTGAATGCAGGATCTTAATAACGCCATTATAATAATAATAATAATGTCCTCCAGACCGAATTCCGGCCACGGCGGCCTGCCTCAACGGAGACTAGCCATCGGCGCAGGACAGGATGCCCAAGTGTATGCGCAAGCACAGGTGCACTCTCTATTCCCTCACTCTCATAATCCGATGGGACGGTAAACGGACACGACCGGAGAGAGATCAGGCGCAGGACAAACGGCTTTACGTGCTTTCCGTGGCACGGGGGTGAGACACTGCCAATTTCCTTACTCCTGGCAACTACTGAGAATTTCTTGACGGAAAAACTCAATAATTAATTTTTTTGGCCTGACCCGGGATTCGAACCCAGGACCTCATGATCAGCAGTCGCACTAATCTGAATCAGTGTAACTAAGTCTGAATGCCATGATAGTTCGGTTGCCAACCCACTTGCTAAGAGAGGGAACCATGGCAATATTTTCCCCTATGAGGTAATGTATGGAATGTTCAGCAGTGGTATTTTTTTTGTGGTGGTTTTTCAAGTAGTATTTTGATAAACTGCAATTAATTAATTATTGACGAATAATATCTTGAAGGGGTTGCGGTGGAGCGAGAAAAGAGGCAAACCGCGGCGGTGCTGCGGTATTTATACCACTATAACAGTGCACTCTGTGTACGTTTTGTGAAGCAAACCCAGTGTCGATTAGACAAACATAAATAAAATATTTCATAGTGGTACTTGATTTCTTGTTCCGCTAATAGCACACAAATTGAGGTGTCTCTGGAGTGGAAAAAAGGCAAAAACAACCTTGAAACGAAAGGTCAGAATAATGTAGCTTCTAATTTTGTACTACGTAAAACGTCATACGTATAAATAGTTCAACTACAAGAGTTTGGTTCCATTTATGCAAGAAAATTTACAGCTTATATACGTCCCTCTGCTGAGCACAGGCCTCCCGCTCATTTCTGAGAGGGTTTTAGGGCAAGGAATTGTCCGCCGCGCTGCCCCAATGCATGTTGGCGAACTTCACATGTCTTCGAAATATTTCTTTTCTTATTTCCCTGACATGCAGGTTTCTTCACGATGTTTTCCTTCACCGCCGAGCACGCGGTAAATCAGCACTTAAAATTGCAATTAACAATTTCTTTGGTGCCGGCGGGGATCGAACCCGGTTTGCTCGCGTACTGTGAAATTTACAGCGAGTGCTAACCATCTGAGCTACCACGGCTCTTGCACGGCTTTATGCAAGTAATTACTCTATACTTAACCAAATCTAAGAAATACCTTTTGACGTTTCTAATTAATCATTCTGCAATAACTTATAACAAGCGTACTCATACGATCTAAAATAACTTTTTACATAAATCCAAATAATCATGAACTTATCTATATCTTATTTACAACATGTATAGTTTTATCACTTATTTAAATTTGAATCTTTCACACAAAGCACAATATAAAGTTTTTTAGCAGAATCAACTTTTATGATTGACGTTGTTTCAACTATATGTCGTTATGCACCTTTGCGTGGTGTTTGGTTGATTAAGATATTTTTTATTGGCGATACAATATACTTCCTACTTGTTAGCGGTCTAGTGTGCGCAGTGACGGGAAACGACTGGCGTTCGCTGTCGAGCGAACTCTGGACACAAATGCAAAGTGACAATTCATCAAAATGTATGCAACTGCTGTCTGTATATATGCCTACTGACGTATTGCCTGGGGGGGGGGAGTGCCGTCATTTACGTACACGTATTCACAAAATCTGAACTAAATTTTTCTGAACCATGTTAGACAGTTTAGAGCCTTACAGTCCAGATTCTACTGATAGTAGATTCCTATAAACTTTTAAAACATTTTATAGGCGCTGTTTCGCGCAGCATTAACGTTAAAAGCTATTGTTTTTATATTCCAGTTTTTTACCACACCATTGTTTAAATTCAATGAATGTAAATTTTATTTCAATGCAAAAATCTAACATAATTCATTGATCCGGCGACAGTTTCTTAATGTTATGAGGACATAACTTATTTTAGAAGCCTTATTTAATAATATGTTAAGGTAAAGAAAATTATTTGCAGTTTAATCGCAAGCATTTTTTATTTTCTTAATCTACTTGCGAAAACTTTATAATGGTTAATTTTTCTTACATGTATACCAACAATTTACTGTAGATAAATGTGCCTGCGCTCACAGACGGCACGGCATGGCACGGCGTGGCAAGGCATATTTCCCCGTGCCGAAGGATCCTGTGGCATCCCGCGCCATACCAAACAAGTCAAGACGCACCCGTGTATCGGGTGCTCGTGCAAGCCTCTGAGATCGCCACCGCAACGGGCTAGATTTAACCTTGTTTCAACGACTTAACACTCATATTCGTTTAACAACATAAAGTAACCTATGTATTTCACGTGATGCAGCGGCGCACTGCAGCATCCCATGGAATGCCGTGACATGCCCCGGCATCCTTTGGAATGCCATGACGTGCCGCGGCATCCCTTGGAATGCCGTGACGTGTCGCGGTATTCCTTTGAATATCGTGACTTGCAGCAGCATACCGCGGTGTCACGCGGGATATTTCGGTCTATTCTTGTTGAAATAAAGGAATGTTAGTGCTAAGATCATTAAAATAACGACAAAAAAATTTTTCCTACGAAAAAAATCCTTTAACACTTCTTGCCATGCCGTACTGTCTGTCAGTGCAGGCTCTTAGATATCCATTTTTTTATAAAAATAGATGTGAAAAAAAAAACTTAAGAGTCAACCCGATGGGAGCAACTTCATGAAACAAGCTACTGCAACCCATAGACACCTGCAACCAATTTTGAATAAAGAAGGCGACAGATGCGCTACCCCCTCTGAGGACTAAGATGGAATGCTTCATAGTTTGTAATTATACTGGTCCTGTACTGGAAGTACGTAAAGGCTACACAGACGGAAAGTCAAAAAGGAATCATATAAAAAAACATCAGATAAAATAGTTACTCTATATAACTCACCTTCCGGCTGTAGTGGTCGAGGGGCGTGGAACAACTGCACTCAGTCACGTTCTTGACGCTTTTCCAATCTAACGCCACCGTGTTCACTTCGCTCTCGAGCTGCGAGAAACTCGCTGGGATATAGTCCTCCACCCTCTATTAAAAATAGTTTTCAATTGGAACTTGTGTAGAGCCAAGAAATTTTACTGTACGTGAACAACCTAGCACAGATTTCCTCTCACCGTGGCGGGTATATTGCCATAGTTGCCACCCTTGGCGAGCGGGTTAACCACAGCAGTTTCCCTCTGTCGCCTCTTACGACACCCTCGGGAAGATATCGGGTAGAGGGTATTCTTGCCGCCACTACACTGGTCTAAGAAAAAGGTTCTCGAGTGGCAATCCAATACCAATTTCGATCCAATCTCAATTTCAATCCAAATTCAATCCAATTTTGACAAATTACCGTACTCTTAAAAAAAATTTTGACAACATTGGATTGAAATCGAAATTGCGCTCGTATTGGCCAGAAATTTTGTTGTAACACATGAAGTTAGCTGCGTTACTCTTAGCAACAGGCATGTTTTGTTTATCGTTAAACCGGTAAAGTCATAATAAACCCTTTGTAACTTCCATAAACGAGCGTTTAAGTAGTAAAAATATTTAATAAATGGTATATTTCGTCAAACATAACATCTTTTCATACAGTTCTTATAAAGAAACGCTATACTTGCGAGTTTTAATCATAAAGCTGTATAGGAGCGTGCCTTTGCCTCATTTTTTGCTGTCAGAAAAAAATTGTCACGACGATCACGAAACAAAGTAAACTAAGATCAACTATCGAAGAACTCTTTTTAAGTTTACAGGTTTTTTAAGTATATGTACTGTGAATTACTAATAGACCTTTCAATTTGGGTATAACTATAAGCAGTTTGAAATATCATTCCCGCACTAACACAATTAAACATCATATGAAACAGACGAAATGGACACTGTTAGCTAATTAGGAGGAACAAAATAAATAATAATGGTCAAGGATAGGAAATAAGTATACCAATGTTTTTTTAAGAATTTTATAAGTAGATATGTCTTCTAATTTGGGCACAGAAAAAAATCAATTTCTGGCCTGTTGAACAACATTCAACTAGGGATTGATAGCAGTCACAGTCACACTTAGTTATTACAAATAACAATGTTGATTTGTTAACTTCTCAATATTGTTGTGTGGCATCTAATAATAATAATAACTTTTTTTACTCACTTTTAAAGACAGACATTTTAATATTATTTTATTTTTCTACGAAAATCTAAAGGATGGGCTAGGGCCACGGCACTAAATGGGCCAACAGCTGGTTGATTTCATGGAGAAGAGAGACCCTTTATGATGAACTTTATCTTCCAGAAACGGCCACATAGAAAGTGGACTTGGTCGAGCCCCTACATACAGTTTGATAAAAATAAGGAACTTGCAATATGTATGCCTTACACTCAAGTAGTAAAAAGATAGTCCATCGTTTTTTAATTGCAATAATTTACATAAATTGACGTCATATGACTCTACACTAAGAGATGTTATCTCTTAGTGTAGAGAATATAGATGTTTCAGTAAATCTCAAACCTTTTAAATGGCTTGTGATGGAGTAAAACTTCTAATTCAAATATTCCACCTTAATTTTGTCATTAATTTATAATACATTACTCTACAGAGATGGGATGTTATCAAATATTTATTTTCATTTCGATATCACAACTTAATTCCATACCACATTCCCCAAGCAACAACACTCTACCAACAGGAAATGATCAATATATGGAGCATCTGAAGACAAAGTAATAACCAAATGCAATGTCCGAAATAGTCAGGACAATTGATTATCGATTGATTATCAGCAGTTTTAATATTGTTTTAAATTTTCCAAACAGAACACAACAACAATAGCGTTGCTGTAATTTAAAATAAAAGACTCATTTAATTTTTTCAATGTTTTAATGTTATTTTTTTTTTGTTTTCTTTTAATTTCTTTTGTAAAAGAAACTGATTTTTGGTTCACTGTAAATATAATTTTAAGATTTTAATTTCATAGTCTTATCATTTGATATATAATCAATATGTTTTTGATTCATATGTTAGTTAAGCTATATTATCAAATTTCAAATATGAAAAATAGATTTAGTATGTAGGTAAGAATATATACTTATGGTGATAGTTGATGAAAATATGTTTTTATTATATTAAAAAAAATGCTTAAATTTGTATCAGAATTTTCTTAATAAATCCTTATTAAAAACAATGAGTGAATGCAGGAAATAAAGTAACATATGGCAATTCAGTGCTGTGTTAGTCCCTATTTTAACATATAGTAGTGGAAGTTGGGTATGGCAGTAGAAGCACGAAAGTAGACTAAACGCAGTATAAATGCAGTCATTAAGGAGTATGTTAGGGTTGAATCTGAAGGACAGGGTGAGAAATTGTGTGATAAGAGTGTGGTTTGCAAGATGATGTGACCAGTGTTTTAGTGGTATGGTCATGTACAAAAAATGAATGAGGAACAAGTGACAAAGCCAATTTATGTTGCAGAAGTGAACGGCAGAGTTGGAAAGGGATGTTCTAGGCGAAAGAATATCGACGAAAATGGCGATATATTGAAAATGGGCCATATTAAGGGTCCCCTAACTGACGAGCATGTATATGTAGTATAATGATGTGGAGGAGGGGAATGAGGTGTGTCAGGATCGTGCCAAATGGAAGTCTGTAGTCTTTGCCCACCCCTCTGAGTGACAGGCGTGATTGTTTATGTTGTGTTATGTTATTAAAATTACGTTAGCTATATAATTTTATTTTTAATTTTTATAAAATTATACATTTAATATTCATATTTCCTTTATGTGTTAAACCCGCCAATAAACCTCTCAGACAAGAGACCTCTGCCCAGCAGTGGGATGCTTTAGATCATACTTGAGATATCTAAACAGTCCTCTTCAAACTTTTGCGCCGCCTAACTATTTAAAACATTTCTTCTACCAAACAACCACTCCAAAATTAAATTAAAAATAAAGACTGTAACCCTTTTTTAACAATACTTCATTTCATTCATAAAATATATTCTCCACGGAGGGTCATATTTAGGTTTTTATTCATGCACTATTTTCTCACTAAAGTCCTTAATAATACAATAATTAGCTCCATAATCATCATCACTCATAGAAAAAAACTTAAGTCCTTAAAACGCATAATTTGGGGCTCATTTCGTCATTATTTTAATTGTAATGCACAATTACGGCGTAGAATAATAGACGTAAGAGCTGAACATGTCATTATTTTATCGCAAACAATAAGATAATTGCAGAAAACAAACGATTAATATGAAAACAATTCCTAAAATGTTACTGTTTTGCTATTGCGTTTATTCCAATTCCAACGCAATATCAAACACAATACGCTGCTGTCAACTAACTGTCAAAAGTGCGTCGGGAGTACCAATTTTGCTTGGACAATTTCAATTCCAATCTCAATTAGTTCACACATCATTCATCATCATCATCATTACAGCCCTTCACAAGTCCACTGCTGAACATAGGCCTCCCCCAAGTAATGCCACAAAGCACGGTCCTGAGCCACCTGCATCCATCGACTTCCTGCATATCTTACCAGGTCGTCACTCCATCTAGTGGGGGGTCACCCTACACTACGCCTACAGGTACGAGGCTGCCACTCGAGAACCTTTCTTCCCCATCGGTTATCGGTTCTTCGAGCTTTGGCGGCCCATTGCCACTTCAGCTTACTAATCCGTTGGGCTATGTCGGTCACTCTGGTTTTACTGCGGATATCCTCATTTCTGAGTCTATCACACAGAGAAACTCCGAGCATAGCCCTCTCCATAGCTCGCTGAGCGACCTTGAGCGTCCTCATACGGCCAGCAGTAAACGACCACGTCTCTGATCCGTAAGTCATCACTGGCAACACGCACTGGTTGTACACTTTAGTTTTCAGAGATTGAGGTATACCTGACGAGAAGATGTGTCGTAATTTCCCGAACGCTGCCCAGCCGAGTTGAATCCGTCGATTGACCTCTCGGTCGAAGTTGGACTTACCTAGTCGGACTATTTGTCCCAGGTAAACGTACTCGTCAACAACTTCGAGCATAGTGCTCCCAACAACTACCGGCATAGGTGTGACATGGACATTAAACATGATCTTTGTTTTGTCCATGTTCATCTTAAGACCTATCCGTTGGGAGGCACTATTGAGGTCATTGAGCATAGTGCTTAAGTCCTCCAGCGATTCTGCCATAAGGACTATATCGTTAGTTAGTTAATAGTAGTTCACACAACCACCACGCAATACTAAACTAATTTAGCGCTGGAGTCGCTTTCAAGAGTACCAAACGTTACAATTTCAATCCCGATCGATCGGAATTGTTTTCAAGAGTAAGCCTGCTGGTAGGCGAAGTGTAGGGCAACCCCCCACTAGATTGAGTGACGACCTGGTAAGACAGGCAGGAACTTGATGGATGCAGGTGGCTCAGGACCGTGCTTTGTTGCATTCCTTGGGGTAGACTTTTATTCAGCTGTGGACTTGTGAAGGGCTGTAATTATGATGATGATGATAGGTTTCCTACGTGTTTATTGGTAAAGGAATACATCATTGACAGACGCATGCCCAACAATATTGTATAATGACTGTCGACTATTTCATTGGTCTTGTCGTAAGTGTGACTGCTTACCATAAGACTATAAGACCCCGTGTAGGGTCAAAAAAGTTGTTGGCCTTTTCTGTCAAGAAATTCTCAGGAGGGGCACGGAGTCAGGTAGTGTTTAACTTGGTTTATAAAGCGCATAACCTCTCTCCGGTGATGTGGGATTAAAATCTCATCGAAATAAGAGAGTAAGGAGTGCACATGTGCTTGTCAACACACTCATGAACTACTCGATCTGAAATGGCTTGTCTCCGTTGAGACTGGCCGCCATAACCGAAATTCGATCTAGAAGACATATATGTACTAAAACAATAATGCCGTTATAAGCACAAAAATATTACATAAGCTTTCTAAAAAAAACAGCCTTTTATATATATATATATATATATATTAATACATAATACATAATATATATATATATATATACATATATATACATATATGTATATATATGTATATACACACACACACACATATATATATATAGCCGTGTAGTGGCGGTTAAGAATATCCACTACCCCATATCTTCCTGTGGGTGTCGTAAAAGGCGACAGAGGGAAACAGGCAGGAGATGGGCAGCAGCATCTTCCTGATAACAGCAACGGTACGAAAAAAAAAAACTGCGGTTGCCAACCCGCTCGCCAAGCGTGGCAACTATGGCAATATACCCTCCATGAACAATTACACAAATAGACGGCCCCCAGTCCCCGGCGGCCCCGCTATTCCTGGCTACGGTGGCGACCATGGTAACGGCGGGGCAGGGGGTGCTAAGAATCTCCGGTGGAGGTTCGGGTGCCACCTACGACGACTCGACCTGGCAACATTTAACGCACACACCCTGAGGACTGACGAGAAGATCCTGGAGCTGGAAGAAGAGATAGACAAGTTACGCTGGAATATTATAGGATTATCCGAGGTCCGAAGAGAGGGGGAGGATACGGTGATTCTCGAAACCGGCAACTTGTTCTATCACCGGGAGGGCGACCAACTGTCCCAAGGAGGTGTCGGATTTATCGTCCACAAGTCTCTCGTCAACAACGTTGTAAAGATTGGGAGTGTGTCGACGAGGGTCGCGTACCTGATACTCAGAATCACCAAACGGTATTCGCTGAAGGTCATACAGGTTTACGCACCAACCTCGGCACATCCCGATGAGGAGGTGGAGGAAATGTATGAGGATATTTCCAAAGCCATGCATTCCTCCAGAACCCACTACACGGTGTTGATGGGAGACTTCAACGCAAAACTAGGCACAAGAGAAAGCGGTGAGCTGAAGTTAGGGAAATTTGGAGTAGGGCAACGGAACCGAAGGGGCCAGCAGCTGGCCGACTTTATGGAGAAAGAGGGACTCTTTATGATGAACTCTTTCTTCCAGAAGCGGCCCCACAGGAAGTGGACCTGGTCGAGCCGCGACGGTTTGACAAAAAATGAGATTGACTTCATTATGACGACCAGACGCCAACTGTTCAGTGATGTCTCAGTGATCGCAAGGGTGAAAACTGGCAGCGATCACCGAATGGTTAGAGGCACACTGAACCTAAACGTTAAGTTGGAGAGGTCTCGTCTAATGAAGTCAACGCTCCGTCCCCCTCGTGCTCTGATCCAGAATCCCGAAAACTTTCAGCTCGAGTTACGTAACCGCTTTCAGTGCCTAGAAGATTGCAATGCAGTGGACGATATGAATGACAAGCTCGTGGAAACTGTCCATGCGGTCGGAGCTAAGTTCTGCAAGAGCCGCCGCAGAAGAACACAAAAACTCTCCGATCACACTCTTAATCTCATGGCTGTTAGACGGGAGATGAGGCTGCAATCGTCAACAGATTTGACACCATACAGGCAACTGAACAGACAGATCTCCAAATGCATGCGGCGAGACTTACGCAACTTTAATACTGCTCGTATTAAAGAAGCGATCGAGCGGAACCAGGGCTCCAAAGTCTTTTGCCAGAGATCTGTCTGCCAGTAAGAGCCAACTGTTAAAGCTGAAGACTGAGTGTGGCAGCATCGTTTCCGGGACACCTGAGATTTTGAGTGAGATTGAGAGGTTCTATGGGCAGCTGTACACATCATCGTTGGAGCCACACGCAAGTGTGAGTAACGATCCGAGAGCAAGTCTTATCCGACACTATTCCGATGATATCCCGGACGTCAGTCTAAGCGAGATTAGAATGGCTCTCCAGCACCTTAAAAACGGCAGAGCCCCAGGCGAGGATGGTATTACAGCGGAGCTTCTGAAAGCGGGTGGAACACCGGTACTTGAAGTCCTTCAGAAGCTCTTCAATTCCGTCCTCCATGGTGGCACTACTCCAGAGGCGTGGAGCAGAAGTGCGGTGGTCTTGTTCTTTAAGAAAGACGACAACGCTCTTTTGAAGAACTACACACCGATTTCCCTTCTGAGCCGCGTCTACGTGCTCTTTTCGAGAGTCCTTACGAACCGTCTCGCACGCAGACTCGACGACTTCCAGCCTTCCGAACAAGCCGGTTTCCGAAAAGGCTTTAGTACCATAGACCACATACATACCCTGCAGCAGATTGTACAGAAGACCGAAGAGTACAATCTGCCACTTTGCTCGGCGTATGTGGACTATGAGAAAGCCTTTGATTCCGTCGAAATTTGGGCGGTGCTACAGTCCCTTCAGCGGTGCCAAGTTGACTGTCGGTATATCGAAGTGCTGAAGTGTTTGTACAGTAGGGCTACGATGGCTATCCGAGTACAGAACCAGAGTTCGAAACCTATCCAACTGCAGAGAGGTGTAAGACAGGGTGACGTTATATCCCCGAAACTCTTCACCGCTGCATTGGAAGACGTTTTCAAGCTACTGGACTGGAAAGGATACGGTATTAACATCAATGGCGAGTACATCACTCACCTTCGATTTGCCGACGATATAGTCCTTATGGCAGAATCGCTGGAGGACTTAAGCACTATGCTCAATGACCTCAATAGTGCCTCCCAACGGATAGGTCTTAAGATGAACATGGACAAAACAAAGATCATGTTTAATGTCCATGTCACACCTATGCCGGTAGTTGTTGGGAGCACTATGCTCGAAGTTGTTGACGAGTACGTTTACCTGGGACAAATAGTCCGACTAGGTAAGTCCAACTTCGACCGAGAGGTCAATCGACGGATTCAACTCGGCTGGGCAGCGTTCGGGAAATTACGACATATCTTCTCGTCAAGTATACCTCAATCTCTAAAAACTAGATTGTACAACCAGTGCGTGTTGCCAGTGATGACTTACGGATCTGAGACGTGGTCCTTCACTGCTGGCCGTATGAGGACACTCAAGGTCGCTCAGCGAGCTATGGAGAGGGCTATGCTTGGAGTTTCTCTGCGTGATAGACTCAGAAATGAGGATATCCGCAGTAAAACCAGAGTGACCGACATAGCCCAACGGATTAGTAAGCTGAAGTGGCAATGGGCCGGCCATATAACTCGAAGAACCGATAACCGATGGGGAAGAAAGGTTCTCGAGTGGCAGCCTCGTACCGGTAGGCGTAGTGTAGGACGACCCCCCACTAGATGGAGTGACGACCTGGTAAGATATGCAGGAAGTCGATGGATGCAGGTGGCTCAGGACCGTGCTTTGTGGCATTACTTATACATATATATATATACATATATATATACATATATATACATATATATATATATATATAGCCCCCCCCCCCACAAGAGGCAATCCTGGGTCTCCTCCATAAATTGTCTTATAATTTCCACACTTGGCAGCCTGGTTGACAACCGCGTTTTATAATTTCTTTTTAGTTATGAGACGCTGCTGCCCATCTTCTGAATTGTTTTCCTCTGACAACACGGGACGACATGGGGTAGTGGATATTCCTACACCGCCACCACACGGTGTCTCAAAGTGTATAAGATATTACCTCTGTTATCAGTGGTATGTTATTGGGCTTGGTGACAGAGGTGAGGCCTTCCTTGAGGGGATGGTCATGGTTCGCGCATTCTAGCTCCGAGAGGCCGCCAACTGACTCGTACAGCAATCTGAAAGCAAAATTCATTATCAAGTTCATTGCGAGACTTTAGACCTTCTCGGGAATGCGCTAGCTGGACTGAAAAACTCGCACTATTTTCCCACAATTAACACGCTAAATGCAGTCTAATAATCATTTTTGTTTGTAATTTTTGGTGCGTGACGTCTGGTAGTGCGATCGTTAATCCATCTACCAAGCGTTACAGTTAAAATAAGATCCTGTCTTCAACGAAAGAAACCCATGTTCAGGTGTAAGAAGAACGCCTCGTTAACAGTTAAAAGGGTCTCCGGTTCTCTGCACTCACCATACAAAACATAGCACCGTTAAGCTGTTATTTTACGCGTGTATTCTCAGAGTTCATAGTCCTACCCCGGTTGAGCCGACTCAATCGTGCTACAACTATTATATTATTCCAGCGTGGCTCCACCTCGTATACTTAATAACATTCTTCAAGTCATCAGTATTCATGCGGTTATCTAACTTTGTTATCCTGTGCGAACATTGTCCTGCCTCGGTCGATCCGACCCATTCGTACTGCAGATATTACGCTACAGCGTAATTCTACCATTTACAAAATAAAAGTAAGAAATTATAAGGTATTTATAGTATTTTCAGTCCAACTAGACATTGGTCTTTCTAAAAATGACTAATCTAGCATTAATTTCTTATTAACTATAAATAAGATCACATGAATTTGTTAATCAACATAAGTGATGAGCGTTGCGCTCTTACAACAGACTTAAAAAATCTTACACAAGACTTAAGCCAGTATTTAGAGACAATGTCAAGTTTAAGATGAAATTTCACAATATCAAAATTTGTGGAGCCGTGCATGGAATATACTCAAATTTGGATATTGTAAATTGTCTGTGAACACCGGCTTTAGAGTTGAAAGGAGACAGGCGAAAGTTCATAGAAAGCTGGGCCTGATGTTACAGTAATGATTCATCACATCACATTTAAAAAAAAATTAAAATGTTTACGGCTACTTCATGGTAGAAAAAAATAGGATGTAAATTGTAAGCATAACGTGAGCAAAAACAATGTTATTGCTCACGTTATGCTTACAATGTTATTCTTACACCAAGCTCTCACATTACACTTTAAGAAAATAATTATTAGACTATTGTTAACTAGACTTTACCAAAATTTTATGTATTGTAGGACATTCACACATAGAGGATTCAGACAGTACTCAATTCTAAAGGTTTGAAATAATTATAAAAAAGCAGAGGGAGTATGAATTAAAAACACTTTTACTTTTAATGATTTATATTTCGTCCACTTCATCATAAACAAATAAAATGTCGTCTAAAAGCGGTGCATGCGGTATAAAATTCTCTTGACGCCTTGCCCAGCTTAGGTACAATATTATGGACATTACATGACAACAGCAACCTACAGTTCTTTGTCCTACCAAACAATTAAAATAATACTGTTTGATGGCCTCTCTACTATTAAGAGAATTGTCACCTAAAATATATGTAAAATATGTTTTTGAGCTTAAGTATATGTGTCGATTTTATTCGACCCCTTAATAGCAAGCTAGAATGGTTGGATATTCACTGTTCTCTTAGTAGGTTGCTGTCCGTTTCTCGACACACTTCTATTTCATATCTCCCATCTTGTCGTATGTGTTCTAGCCAACTTAAATTGATAAATACTGAAATCATTAAGTTATCATTTTGCACATGTATTCTTGTAAAATCAGGAAAGAAACCGTCAAAATCCTATATACGTAGCCAGAGTCGTTAAAGATCAGAATATTATTACACCACACAAAAACAACAGAAAATATACACTACCACCGCAAGCTCTGAGCCAAACAAACGTAACAAATGATTTGATTGACGTTTGAGTTTTTTAACTAACGTTGACATTTCCGCTTTTTGGCCTGTATAATACATTGATAATCGATTCTGAAATCGATTTATTAATATATTCCGTCAATTTATTTTTACCACTTTTTTGAAATGCTGAAGTGTCACGAGGAAACCGTTATTTAAATAATAAGTTTCTCACACGAACCTAAAGAAGGAAACATTGCCCAAATTCGCACGTCTCCTTTGCTTAGCAGTTGGGAAATTGTGACGTGCTCGTCTCTTAAATTAACCGGACCAGTAACGCGGACGAAGCCGAGTTTCCTTTTCAATATCTATACCTCATAATTTATTTATAATTTATTAATTAATAAATTATAAGTATTCAGTTTTATTGTTTATGTATAAAACATTATAACACACATTTTTTTTAAATTTTTGAATATAAAACCACCACAACGCGGCAATTCAATTTCAATTAAATTTCAAAATGATGAAAATCAAATCTACTCATTATATCACGGTGTATAGCCAGTACAGAGTACTTGTATAATAGAGGTCAGTGTATGACACTCATAAAGAGAGATTAGAATGAAAATAACATACTTGTTGTCAATTTGCAAATCTTCAGTTTTCGTTTCAATGTCGACGGTATCGATGTTGCCATTCTGATAGTTGACAACGGCTGACTCTCTACTCTTCTCTGCGTTCTTACCCGATAGAAGATTCCTGAACGTTGATATTCTCTGTGGAGATATGGAAATAATAACAATTAAATAACAATGACTTTTAAAGTTCTTAAGCGGGTACGTTTACCACCGGCCTTAATAATATTTCCAAAAGCGATTCAATTGCTGATTTATCATGTACTCAGTAGTAAAGCAAAACATCCTTTGGAAACTTGTCTGTTAGGAACCTACAGATAGTGAAGAAAATTTGTTACACGTGTATTTATGAAGCTAGGTACAATGTCGTATTATTAGGAATGAAGAATGTTTAAATACCTTACGCATAATTAATAAAAATATCGTATTAACTATCAATTAGAGCAATCACACTGACACAAAAAAAAAATAATTTTTAATATTGACGCAAAATGTGGTCTTTTTCATATAGGATAGGATGACAAACAAGCACACAGTCCACCTGATGGTAAGTGGTGGCTGTGGCCTATAGACATCTACATCTATCCTCGATTACGAATCAAAATGCAGATGCGTTGTGAGGACTTAGATGGAATGCCCCGTTTCCAGTAAAAACGGTCTCCGGTTCTCTACATTCACCACACGAAACACAGCAGCATTAAGCTACTATTTGACGCTGGTATTCTGTGAGAGCGTGGTCCTTCCCCGGTCGAGCCGACCCATTCTTGCTACAACTATACTACTAATATAATTGCAGCATGGCTCTACCACGTTGTTATATTGTACTATGTGCGGAGGAGATAGAGGTACCTTGGCGAGGTAGTTGATGTGGTGGCGCAGCGCGGAGGCGTGCTCCACGGCGGCCGGCAGCAGGTCGTGCAGCGGTTCGCGCGGGTGCACGCCGCTCTCGTGCCGGCAGTACATGCCGCGCCAGAACCTGCACACAATACTGGGTGTATTACCCACTTAAGAGGATACCTTGAAAATGAATCGAAGTTTTGGGGGCGTGGCTTATTCCTTTGTCGGTGAAGCTAACGGACGACTGAGGGAGTGTCAAAATGAAAGTGATGCAATAACTTCATAGTACGCAAATTATGATACAGCCATACCGAGCAAGCAAGCGCCAAACAACATTTTTATTTATATTAAAAAAACTTCGTTATGGATTAAAAAACTGGTTTATGAGAACTTAGATATGATTATTTACCATCCCTAAAAATTCCATAAATATGTAAGAATATTGTGGTGTCATCGAGAAATGTAAATAATTAGAGCGTACTTTAATTTTTTTCTATCGAGAAAATTACATGATATCGTGTTTTCCTTTTATGCAATCCAAGGTCATACAGTCAAAAATAATATACCAAAATATTGGTTTTTAATCTATAAAACTTAAAAAAATATGTTAAATAGAAAAACCACCAAATTTTCGAGGTATCACCTTAACTCGACGCTTTAACATCTAAATTTGATAAGCGTTGTCACAAAACAAGCGAATCATCTTGACGTGTCAAAACCTACACGTGATACACACTAACACATCGGGTTAAGACCTAAACTCGTTTAATGATTGCCCATAATTACACAAAGTGTAATAATAAAAATAAAATCCACAAGCCATAATATTGTTGCACGCCTAAGTTGACGTCTGGCACTAGCGCCATCTAGTGTCGGGTAACAGAGCGAGGAGAGCTTTCCAGAAAATGACATGACTAATCTTTCAACCAACAGCGCCATTTAGTATCGAATTGAAGAACTAAGCTTTCTAGAAGCCTTACACTCGAACTTTCGGTGCCTGGTCGATTGGCGCGCGTATTTACTTGAATATTCTGGATATTTCGGTGAAAAGGCGTATTTAAAGGCGCTGCAACACGCGATCGGGGCAGTATTGAATTTGGCGAGACAAGCGAAGCTTCGGAGCGAAATAAAGTAAATCAGTGTGATTAATTATTCGTGTCTTTTAAGTTTAATTGGTGTTCGGTAATAAAAGTGTAAATTTTGGTAATTCCATCGGCAGTTTTTATTGTAACGAACCTCAAGCTCGTAACAATATGAAGGATTTAAAAAAAAACATTCAATAGATAAAGACACTCAACTTAGCTCTTAACGCTTAAGTTAAAATAGATATTTGGGCGTTTAGTTTGATTTATTTTCACTTTTCTGATTCCTACCTGAAATGTCGAGAATTAAGAGGATTGTGAAGCTGTAAATTTTCATACAAAAACCGATAACGTTTTTCCTCCCGTAAACATAGTCACATTTTTATAATTTTTGGAAATGTTGTAGATGTAATGAAAAAACTAGGTAAGTACGTTTTTACTTTAAGGAAATATTGTGTACGATATAACTAATTAGCCTCTAAATATCTATAGTTTTGACTTAAAAACTTCCTCGAGCGTTTTTATTTTTTTAAATTTAACTAAACTGAATTTCTAAAAAAGAAACGCACAGACCTAAATTAAGGTACACTGAATCTAATGAGACCAAAATTGTCTCATTTCGTAAAGGTTTAAGGGGGTGAAAACGTTATCGCTCGAAAGCAATTACTTCCAACATTTGCAACTCTATCGCACGATACAGAGATACGGAGCGAGCGTATTGAAACAGATAGTGTTTTCGAAAATACCTACTTGCACAACGTACTGGAACTTCACAATCCTCTTAAGAAATTCGACTCGTTGTTGATTGGCGTTAACTACAGAATAAGCGAAACGTATTGCCTGGCCACAACCTGTACGTAGTATTCTACCTTAACCGAATGCGTTAAGACCTAAATTTAACTGTCGTTATCACGAGACAAGAGAAGCATCTCGATGTTCCAAAACCTGCAAGTAAACTACTTTAACTCAATGCGATAATACTTAAACTTGACTAACGTTGTCTCAGGTTAGGAGAATAATTTTGACGTGCCGAAACCTGCACAAGGTAAGCTACTTTAACTCAATACGTTAAGAGCTAAACTTGATTGTCGTTTTCATAGGACTTTTCTAGGTGGTAGGACTCATTTACTGCCTAGGTATCTTTCTGAGTAGGTATCATCCGTTACCTATTTCTGCCGTTATACAGTAGTACGTTTATTATTGTGTTCAGGTTTGAAGGGTGAAGAAAGCATAAGGGCTTATACGTAATTACAAGCTATATGTCATTCGATCATGATCCTTAGTAGTGTAACGCATGTGTAACCTCCTCTTTTTTATTGCAATTGTCCATAAGCAATGCAATAGCCACTTGGACTGTACGATCATTTTCTATTTTAGTTTTATAAAAAAAACCTACATGTCTATCCCTACCCTAATTACCATAGAATACTATAATACATACATAATAGAACGGGGGAGTGGTCGTAGCCCGTGTCACTGTCACTTCACACGTATAAATGTCAACACAATCAATTGTTTCCAATTTTCGTGTCAAGTGTCGCTGCATGTAAATTATTTAAAAAAATGGCAAATTGTGCAATATTTACGTGTCATGCAATGTATTACGTGTCGAAGTCGATTGTCGAAAAACAAACAGCGGGAAATGAAATTTAAATAAAGGAGACATATTCTACAGACAGTAAGTCAAAACTATTTATATTTTGTAAATATTAAAAACAAAAATAAAGAAACATTTATGTGTCAAAAACATTAATCAAAAGTCTAAAATGTGTTTGTAGTAGTGATAACCGATAATACGACGTAATTGCTTGTATGTGTGCTCCCGGCGGCGCCAATCCTCCTACAAAGTAAGGCTGACATTCTATTGTGTGTTATTGTATTCTATGGTAACTACATACGTTAAAAGCTAAAGTTGATTGTCGTTGTCATAGGGCAAGCGAAGCATCATGTACACCTGAACCTGCACGCGAATATTTTTTTAAATCTATTTTAATACAATACGCAAGCGGTGCGTAAAATAGAACTCCATATTGAAAGAAAAATTACTACATTCTTGATTACGACGGCAGAATTATATGTATATTGTACCTTATGTTTTGGGCGCTGAGCTCCGGCTTCAAGATATCGGGGTGAGCTTTAGGATTGTAAAGTGGGTTCTTGTACTCGTTTAGATGGCTCGCCATGTAACCCCACAGCGAGAACGTACGTTCTGACAGTCTGAAATAATAAAAAGCATAAACATATTAAGATTAAGATTAAAAGTAACAGTATAAACGTCCCATTGCTGAGGAACAAGTCTTCTCTCGTTATTAGAATTGTGAGGCACATTTTTTATTCATTCATCTTTAAGCCATCACAAGTTCAAAGCTGAACACAAATCACCCATATTTTGTCATATATATATATATATATATATATATACACATATATACGTGGTTAAAATGAGAAATATGTCCTGTGCCAAGCAGTGGGACGTTTATTAGCTGTTACTTTACGTTTTTTTCTTATAATGGCTAAGACCTGGCTATTTCTTATTAACTTCATCTTATTGTGACGAAGAGATGTTGGCCTTTAAAACAAACTCTGAAGCGATGGTATTCAAAAAACATTGATTCGTTATGCGCAACTAAATCATCCATAAAGTCGTTCATGGTCGTGACAGCGAAAAAGATACGAAGTGTCTATGTGGGAACAGAGAATCGAAAAACTATGAAGCTTTAAGAAAGAAAGAGATAGTTTACAATATTCACAAACACCATTACGTTTTCAATTATGATTCACAATAACGTTACCTATACTTTTCAATAATTAATTTTTTATTCGAATATGGATGACAAACGAGCACACAGTCCAACTGATAGTATGTGGAAACTGTGGCCCGATATCTACATCGATTAAGAATCAAAATGCAGATGCGTCGTCACCGCTGAAGATTGAGATGGCATAGTTCGTTTTTAGTTAAAAGGGTCTCCAGTTCTCTACACTCACTATACAAAACAGAGCGGCATTAAGCTGCCATTTTATGCTGGTATTCTGTGAGAGCGTGGGTTTCCTCGCTCGAGCTAATCCATTTCCACTGCGACCATAATATAGACGTAGCGTGGCTCTACCGTGTTTCATACACTAAGTAAGAATACAAGTGATGGTTTACGATTTATTTGCACTGTGTTATTGTGGATCTTACCTTAGATCTCTCCTATCTTTCTCACAATTGCCAATGAATGTACCGTATTGACAAGCATGCGCATGGTCATGTAGGGTCAATAGAAACCTCTCATTGAATTGGAATGCCTGTAATGAAAAAAATATATATCATCACAAATTACTTGGGAAATTACGATCGATATGAAATTCTCTGTAGAGGTTCGCTTTTTAAGAAAATCGTTGGATAAAGTGCCAGCGTATTTACCTGCAAGACCCTAAGTTTCTAAGTTATCCGAAGACAATATACGCACATACTTGATAGCCAGCGTGCAACTGAAAATTTATTTGCGGGTGCTGTCTTCGTACGCGTTATTATTATTAGTATAAAAAGTGGCGTTGTAAGAAAATAAACCTCATTTCGTACTATTCCCATAGTCCCGTTTGGACTTCCGTCCAGATAGCCCTAAGGCAAATTTATTTAAATGATACATAATCCAGAAGCAGCAATCCCCTGGCGATTAGTCTCCACTACTACAAGTTACAAGTAACATTCACTTCCCATAAAATAAGATTGTGTGCCCGAGCCATGTTCAGCGGTGGACTTATCGAGGTTTCTATTCATCTAGCCATTACATCCTATAAAAGTTTGATGAATATAGGTCTACCCCATAGATTGTCTCATAGAGGGGATTTTGCCATAGCTGCCACCTTAGGCGGAGCAGGTTGGCAACCGCATTTGTTTATTATTTTGAGTTGTTATCAGGAAGACGCTGCTGCCCATATGTGTCAGTTTCCCTCTATTGCCTCTTACGACGTCCTCAGGGGTGGTGGATATCATGTGGATGAGAATATTCTCACACCATCACTACACGGTTAACACTGTAACAGAATAGTGAGGATATAACGCTAATAGTCAAGTTTGGCGTCGTAGGAGATCCATCACCTTACTTCGTCTTGTTAGTGTCGTAAAAGGCGACTATGATCTATTCCCACAACGCCACTAAACGGTTGGTCGATCGTGGGCTGGTGAGTGCTGATTGAGGCTCCGTGGCTCCGTGGCTCAGCAATGAGTTGTGGCGCTGAGGGCCGCGGATTCTAATCCCGCACGGAACAAGTATTTTTATGGTCTATAAACAATTGTTCCGCGTCTGGACGTTCTTTCTTGTGAAATTTATGAAAATTGATGATGATTGATGATACAGCAGAAAACCCCAGTGGAAGTAACGTTTTTTTGAAAGAGCTATAAAACAAATCGGGGTGTAACTGTGCCTGGACACGACCGTGTTTAACGTAAATACGTGTAAGTAATGGAACGACCTCAAAATGGCGGCGTTCTTCCTTCTGCCGCAGGATACGTCAATCAACATAACGAATGTTTGATGCTCTAGCTATCGAGTGGTGTAATCGAATTGTGTATGTTTAATTTAAACCTTTTTAGGGTTCCGTAGTCAACTAGGAACCCTTATAGTTTCGCCATGTCTGTCTGTCCGTCTGTCCGTCCTCGCTTAATCTCTGTGACCGTTAGCACTAGAAAGCTGAAATTTGGTACCAATATGTGTATCAATCACGCCGACAAAGTGGTAAAATAAAAATTGGAAAAAAATGTTTTATTAGGGTAGCCCCCCTATAAAGTGGGAAGTGATTTTTTTTTAATTTCAACCCTAACGTGTGATATATTGTTGGAAAGGTATTTAAAAATGAATAGGGGTTTACTGAAATCATTTTTTGATAATGTCAATAATTTCGGAAATAATCGCTCCAAAAGTAAAAAACAATGTGTGTCCCCCCCCCCTCTAACTTTTGAACCATAAGTTTAGAAAATATGAAAAAAATCTGAAAAGTAGAACTTTATAAGGACTTTCTAGGAAAATCATTTTGAACTTGGAAGGAAACAACAGTACCCACTACCGGGAGCAGTTGCAGGAGCGCGGAGCGGCTGCTGAAGCGCGAACATAATGGATACCCACCTTCAAACTCACAAGTGGGAACACTTATTGTGACGGACGGGAAACTACGGAACCCTACACTGAGCGTGGCCCGACACGCTCTTGGCCGGTTTTTAAATTCTGACGTTACGGGCACTTTCTAGCGCCCATGGTCACAGGGAGGGCGCATAATATGTTTGACATCCCAATGTCATAATTGACAATGTATACATGTTAAAAATTTTCAGGTGTGATCACCTCGGGCGCCTGGCGCAGTAGCTGCCAGGTGCAGTCCAACAGCTGCGTAAACACGGGCGAGCGCTCGCGCCCGTCGCACGCCACGTGCCCGCACCGGGACGAGAACTTGTGCCCGAACGACAGCCAGTCCTTCTCGATCAGAGCCTGTACCAAGAAAGACATCATCTCACGTACTCTTTCAATTTTCTCCTGAAGTACAATACTGTAACCGTATTAAAGCTGTTACAATGAATGACAATAATTTAGAAAAATGTACTACGAGTAAAACAGTAAATAATATAACATTTTCGTAAATATCAGTATATTATAGGTCAAAGTTATTATACTTATTTCATTAAAATTTTCCCTTAAGAGACTCCTCCGGATTGTAAATTTGAAATTACTTTTAATATTAGGTATAGTTTGGACGAAGCGACTATTACACTTATTTTGAATGCTAAGTAGATTCGAGCAAAGCACAAAAATCAAAGTTTTTGTCAATTGTTCGTTCCGGATCTTTCAAAATAAATGATTGCAAACATCATCATTTTTACGCGACCTGGGTCCAACGACCGAATCGATCTCGACTGATACATAACGAAAGGCAAGTTGTGTAATCTCGGCAGTGCAAGTAGTAGGGCACCTGATATCTGTTGATGGTGCGGTAGTGGGGGACGAAGCAGAGCGCGTCCAGCGAGCAGGCCCGCGCCGTGCGGTCCCTGCGTCGCAGCAGTGCTCGCACACGCACACGCACACGTACACAGTCTAGGTAGTGGTGGGGCACCTGATATCCGTTAATGGTGCGGTAGTGGGGATCGAGGCAGAGGGCGGCCAGCGAGCAGGCCCGCGCCGTGCGGTCCCTGCGTCGCAGCAGTGCACGCACACGCACACGCACACGTACACAGTCTAGGTAGCGGTGGGGCACCTGATATCCGTTAATGGTGCGGTAGTGGGGATCGAGGCAGAGGGCGGCCAGCGAGCAGGCCTGCGCTGTGCGGTCCCAGCCGTCGCTGCAGTGCACGCACACGCTCGCCCCACTCGCCACCGCGCACGCGATCCACCACGACGTGTCCAGGATCGACCTGCCAATATTCAGCACACAAATTACGTAGGTATATACACTAGCGTTCCGCCCCGGCTTCACACGGGTGATTACTGATTCACGACAACAGCGCCACCTACCGGGTCATTCTCAAATCATCTTAGTCACACAAAAAATTACATCAAAGTCGATCCAGCCGTTTAGGAGAAGTTCAGTCACATACACACGGACAGAAGAATTATATGTATATAGTAATTTTAAGTAATTTTATTTTTTATTGTAAGTAATTTTTTAAAACGTTACCTCTACATCACCTCTCATATATCGCGGTGGAAGTTTAAATGGCCCAGAACAATTATTTAAAGACCACACCCAACCCATCGATGCAACTCATTTAGCAATGAGCCACTGCGCCACGAAACCGTCAAATTTGTACATCCGTTACCGTTACTATTACAGAAACAAACCAATATAGACCTCCCATAGATGCTCATAGCAGATGTATATGCCGTAAGTGCTATACTTGGCAACCACAGTTTTTAGGGTTCCGTAATTAAACAACAAAGAATCCTTATAGTTTTGCCATCTCCGTCCGTTCGTCCGTCCGCGCTTTTACTCAGAGACACTAGATGCTACATAGCTGTAATTTAGCATAGTTATAGCTATATTAATCACGCCTATGGAGTTGTGAAATAAAATCTGGAAAAACATTTTTATTTGGAGTTCAGCGTGTAGAACTTCGTTGGATAGGTATTTCAAAATATAATGGGTATTCATTAACAATTTATAGATTCAGGAGTCCTTTTGCGAATTAGATTTAAAATGGTATTATTGTTAGTCATGTGTCCCTGTCCTGGCACTAAAACCACTGTATTTATGTTATTTACACAAAAAGTATGCACGATAGTAGTATATAATGAAATTAAAAAGACAACTATCACGGCTAAGTAGGCTTAACAAGATAACGAGTAATAGTTGACCAGCTTATAAAGTACACTTGAATTAATAAAATGCCTTTACATATAAAATGACCTTAAACAACAACCGAAACTAGCATTATAACTTTTTTATGAAATCGAAAATTAAACATTTTGGAAGAAAACGACTTATGCATTACTACTAGAGCTTTACGTTTTCTTTTGCAAGGTAGGCAGATAGGATCGATTGCCAATAGATTGATCCTGACTTACCACTTTCGCTTATTTAACATAGCTGTGATTTTAGCAAACGAGTACCGAACATATTGACTGCGATGTTATTGGTCCACCTATTCAACATAGAGTCCATTTCACACAAACGGTGTAGTTATACTAGACATAGCGTTAATGGTTAAATTTATTTATTTGTTAAAAGCTTAAAAGTTATTTGTCAATTTTTTAACAGATAAAATTAACAGTTCATAATATTATTTACTTTTGTAATGAATTTGATTTTTAATCAGTTGTGTTAATTTTATTGCTTAAATTTTACACATGAATTTTTAATTCAATAAACATTTTCTTATACTTTAATAGGCACAGGACTCTATAGTATTAAATGCTAATTAAGCTAGACATATTTAAAGATTTATTAATTCAATATTTATATTATATTACAATTTACAATAAATTGTCTATTATTTGCAATTATTATTAGTATTTAATAAATGTAAAAAAATACAAATTTTTCAAGATGGCCCCATAGCTGTGTGTGACGTCTCGGCATGATAAATGGCGAAAATTAGGCTCTAACTAAAATGTTATATTTTTGTACACTACACTAAATAATATTAAAACTAATTTCACTAAATCTTAATTAACTTCCCTAGTATTTATTTTTACAACTTTTTATATATTTTTTAATATATTGTTTTTTTTTATAGGATAGGGTGACAAACGAGCACACAGTCCACCTGATGATAAGTGGTTGCTGTGGCCTATAGTCTATGGGCCATAGACATCTACATCTATACTCGATTACGAATCAAAATGCAGATGTGTTGTCACCCGTGAGGACTTAGGTGGAATGCCTCGTTTCCAGTAAAAAGGGTCTCTGGTTCTCTACACTCACCATACGAAACACAGCAGCATTAAGCTACTATTTGACGCTGGTATTCTGTAGAGCGTGGTCTTCCTTCCCCGGTCGAGCCGACCCATTCCTGCTACAACTATAATATTATTATGACTGCAGAATGGCTCTACCACGTATAAAACCACCTTGTAATATTTTGATGGCAAAGTAAACTCTAAATAAAATAATAATAAAATAAAATTAATATTAACCAATATTTCAGCCAATAACATAACATCAAAATACATAATATTAACATCAATCACTAACGTATTCATCCGTTATACAGCGTTACACATATGAGTTAAAAATATTATTTTGTACGGTTTAATAAAAATAACACTTCAAAAGATTATAGGTGAAGTCATTTTATCGAACGAAAATTGATTAACTCTCAAGGTGGTACGTAAATAATATTTTTAACTCATATGTGTAACGCTATATAACGGCTGAATACGTTAGTGATTGATGTTAACATTATGTATTTTCTTTATTTCTATTATTATGTATTTCGGATCAGAACACAGCAGTGCAAGCACTGTTGTTTGGCGGCAAAAAAAAAAAGGTAAGAAGTTGGTACGTTTCCAAACGGACACCCATGCAGGAAAGGAATCCTGCCAAATAATAAGTGTCGTGCTTACTAACGGCAAACGTTTATCGATCCGCCTGCCAGACGTAAAAACTATGGCAAAATCCTACAAACAAAGCCTATGCGGTAGGCCTATGTACGGGCTACTGCAGTGGGCTTGTGATGGATTGTAATGTTGATGATAATGATAACTAAATATTTTTTACCTCATCAACTCGTAGAACTCCACTGCTGGATATGGATCTCTGCCAATGAAGGGATTATTTGCTTTTATCGTCAAGCTTGGCATTCGGATTCGCACATATCACCTCTATGAGGCAATTCATGGGGAAGGCCTATGTTTAACAGTGGACTTAGCCGTAATAATTTCTTATATTTACGCGAACACTATACACACTATAGTCTAAGATCTCCTAATTTGCGGATATTTTTCACAGGCAGCAATATATCATCGTATTAGAAAAAAAATTAGCTTTAATTTAATATAAAAAACCTCCGTGTGAGTCATGAACGTATAAATAGATCAAAATATTGACTGCGTACACCTGGCTGCGACGTAGTTGCGGCCGAGTATGCAACGACACCTAAAGATTTTAGAATTCTTTACATGCATTGTTATGATGTGGGTGATATTTTATTTAAAAAACAAATGAACGAAATTTTTTTTCGAATATTAATTAACGTTAATTTAATTAAAACATATCGCACCGTGTTCGTCCACCTAAGCGCAAATCACATTTTCGATTTCTTCGTAGCTAGAAGGGTATTGACTTGGAAGTCATAAGATGTGATGCAAGTAAAATAGATTGTCTTCCGTAAAAGATTGTCATAATATTGATGATATGGTTAGCAACTTTACCGCTTTAATTCTTAGATAGTATAATTGCCATGCACCTGTCAAACGTATAAAAATAAAACATTGTCTTGCGCCCTGGATTACAACTGAGATAAAAGAGCTTATGGCACGTAGGGATAAAGCCAGAAGTAGATATAAACATTGTCCCCTGGAAAGAAATCTAATAAAGTTTAAGAGTTTGCGCAACCGTTGCAATCGTTAGTGTATAGATGCTAAAAGGCTCTACTTTTATGACTCACTTTCAAATTGCGATTCAGCAAAAGCCTGGAGTTTTCTTAAAACAGTCGGCATTGGCAAACACCCTGCACTTGGGACTGGAAATCTTGATATAGATATTCTCAATCAATATTTTTCTCTTCCACCTGTTTCCTTATCTTCATTTACAAAAGCAAAGACCCTGCTAGAATTATCCAAATGCCCATTGCAACATTCCAGCCAGTTTGATTTTGTATCAGTGTCAGAAGATGAAGTAAAACGATCAGTGCTATCTATGGGTATGTTCCGAAATACAACCCAGTACACTGGCAAATGCAAATAACGTCATCAATTGACACTATATTGTACTGGCGTGCCGCCGCCATATTGCGCCGGATATCCGGCCACAATAAAACAATTTTTAATTGTGTGTGCGCTGAATGAAGCATGCCAGAATTGACAAAATAATCGCCAACACTTTTCCAATATGGCGCAAATGTATGACGTCATATACTGTCCTATGTTTTAGTAAGAATCACCAGTATACCGTCGATTGATGACGTCATTTGCATTGGACAGTGTACTGGGTTGAAATTCGGAACATATCCTATATCTTTTACTGCAAAGGGAAATGACAAAATTTCTTCCACAATGATAACTATGATTTTACCTTGTATTCTTTCAGATCTTACTCATATATTTAATTTTTCATTATCTTTCTCCTGTTTTCCACACTCGTGGAAGTTAGCACAAATTATTCCAATAGCCAAGGTTGCTAACCCTACATTACATTCCGAATTTTGACCTATATCTACATTACCATTCCTCTCTAAAGTAATTGAACATATTGTCCACAATCGTCTTCTTATCTTAATTACAACGATATTTTAAGTATATTTCAATCTGGATTCCGGCCGGGTCATAGTACAACAACTGCTCTTCTTCAGGTAACTGATGATATCCGTCGAGCCATAGATCAAAAACAATTAACCGTTTACTCTTTTTAATAGACTTCAGCAGTGCCTTTAATTCTGTTGACTTTGATATCCTCTTAAAAATTCTCCAGTCTATTAATGTTTCACCTTCGGCCATTCTCTGATTTGATTCCTATCTTCGGGGACGCTCACAATGTATCCGTTCCAATGAAACTATTCCAACTGGTGTAATCTTATAACGGGTGTACCCCAGGGTGGCGTCTTGTCTACTTTGCTCTTCACCGTTTTTATCAATTCTATAACAAAAATAATATCCTCCAACTTCCGTCTTTATGCAAACGATTTGCAGTTTTACCGTCACTTTGTGGCATCTGAAGCTAAATTGGCGATAGAAGCACCGAATGATGACTTGAAGAGAATTAGTCGTTGGTCCAGATCACATGGTATAACTATAAATCCAAGTAAGTCTCAAGCAATAATAGTAAGTAGCAGATATACTAGTAGCTTAATTGATAAATGCACCCTGCCAGATGTGATTATTAATGGCGCATCAATTACGTATACTGAATCTGTGACGAACTTGGGCTTAATTATTGACAATAGGTTGTCATGGGGTCCTCACATAACGGACTTAAGTAGAAAAGTTTATTATGCTTTCCACTCATTAAAACGTCTTCAAAGTTTTTACACTTATCAACGAAAATTCAAACTCTTGTTCAAACTCTCATTTTGCCTATCTTAGATTACGCTGATGGCCGTTTTTTGGATGCCACAGAGGAGCAATTAAACAAACTTGAGCGATTGAAAAACCTTTGCATTCGGTATATTTTCGGACTCAAGAAGTTTGACCACGTCTCTAAATATAGAAAGCAACTCAAGTGGCTCCCGATCCGATTTCGCAGGAACACTCGTATCCTTTGTCTCCTTTTTAACATCCTACATAGCCCAAATTTCCCTACATACCTCCGAAATCGATTTACCTTTCTTAAAACCCCAGGTACAGTTTGTAGATCTCACCTTATAACCCTCTTAAAATTCCCATCCTTGAATACTCATTCATATTCCCGTTCATTCTACGTACAAGCAGTAAGACTCTGGAATTCGCTTCCTTCTCACATTCGAGAAATCAAAACAGTGACATTGTTCAAAAAACGAGTGAAAGAACATTATTTATCGCTGTCTTCTATGTAAGTCTCAAATCTCTGATATTTACTATACTGTTACAAATATATGCATGTACATATATGTATGTATGTGTGTGTATATATATGTTTATATATTTAATTATGACTTATATTATATTAAGTATTTATGTATGTATTAATGTTTGTTTAAATATGAATATATTTATGTATTTGTGTATATATAAGTATTTGGGCTGACATATGTATTTATTTTATCCCCATATGTGTTGTATAATAACAAAGTGCACACCTTATAATCATTTATTAATCACATGTGTTTGAAACTGGCCTACTGGAAGAAATTTCATTGTGAGATAAGTAGAGCCTTTGTACAAACTTTTTATCATAATGTGTCCTCTCCCTTACTTGTGTGTACATAAATTGTGAAATAAATAAATAAATAAAAATACTGTATTCTCCTATTCATAAACGTATATACAAATATGTGTTTGACTCACGAAGTAATAAACGCAGTGATTTTGCAGCGTGATCTTAGACTACTATATACATATATTTTACGTGGTAGAGCCATGCTGCAGATATATTAGTAGTATACTTGTAGCACGAATGGGTCGGCTCGACCGGGGAGGGACCACGTTCTCACAGAATACCAGCGTAAAATAGTAGCTTAATGCTGCTGTGTTTCGTATGATAAGTGTAGAGAACCGGAAACCCTTTTTACTGGAAACGAGGCATTCCATCTTAGTCTTCACGGGTGACAACGCATCTGCATTTTTATTCGTAATCGAAGTTAGATGTAGACGTCTATAGGTCACAACAACCACTTACACCAGCAGGTGGACTGTGTTATCGTTTGTCATATTTAAAAAAAAAACAGGGAATAAAATAACTTTTACGTAAACGTGGGAATTATAAATATAAATACAATTAAATGAGATAAAATCTGTACAACTAGTTTTATTCCGTGAACTTAGCCAGTAATGAATAAAATTATACTTTTGAACGGCACCAATTTTATATTACTGTATACTCACTTTATATGCTTTAACCAGCCAGATGACTCCAAACCGCTTAAGAATGACGACATTGAAGGAGTATTTTGTTCACAAGCTGCAATATAATACATTTAGATAAGACTATTTATTTATAATTGATAGAATCAGGCGTTACTTTGCGGAAATCCATTATAATAAAGAATAAAGATATCAATTAATTTATCTTACAACCATCCGCTAACTAAATACAATGATGTGTTTTACCTGGATTGAGGAGCACCTCCCGCCCTCAATCGCATGCACCAATCCCGTCACCACTAATCCCAACACCATTACTCCCGGCACCACTATTCCAGGAAAGACACACCATCGACGATAATACGACACGTGTTTCGCCTCTACACGAGGCATCCTCAGGTAATGTAGACTCTACGGCGCTACGGTCTACGGCTACTACGGGGAGTAGTGGTGTTGGGAATAGTGATGCTGGGATTAGTGGTGATGGGATTGGTGCATGCAATTGAGGAAGGACGGGAGGTGCTCTTCAATCAGGGTAAGACACATCATTGTATTTAGTTAGCGGATGATTGCAAGATAAATTAATTGATATCTTGACTATTTATTTATTTATTTTATACGGAACACCAACAGCATTGATATATATATTTTTAAATCGACATAACCGGTATTCATTCCCATATGAAAATTAAAATGTGCATAGACCACACAAGCTATTCCTAAAACAAAATCGATCAATTAAAACATACGAAAATGCGGGACACATAAACGTCTGAGGCGTTAAATGACCAGTAAACCTTAGAGTAGTGCAGAGGCAAAACAGGTTACTGCATCAAGTGCATATTGACGAAATTCATATGTCACCGAAGTATTATATTTCTCAGAAATACAAGTTTCCTCACGCTGTTTACCACCGAGCATGTGGAGAATCAGCACTTATAGCTGCATTTAACAACTACACTGGTGCCGACATAGATCAAACTCGTGTTGCTCGCGTACCATGAAATACTAAGACGAGTGCTTAGTCCCTAACTGAACTGTCATGGCTTCAAACGCGCGAGTGTTTGTTGCTGTATTATCACCACTACAATCTATCAAAGTCCTCTGCTGAACATAGGCCTCCCTCTTAGAGATGATTTTGCCATAGTTGCCACATATGGCAGACAATTTAGCGACCATTCATATAGCTCGAAGAACCGACAACCGATGTTAAAGGCAGGAGCTAAGTAGCAATCACGTACCGATAAAGGAATTGTAGGGCGGTCCTCCACTAGAATGGCGACGAACTGGTAAGATATGTAGGATGTCGATGGATGCTGATAATAATGATGATAATAGATGGATTTCTAAAGGGGATATTATGATGAGGATGATGGTGGTGGTAATTATGATGATGGTGATGATGATGAAGCAGCATTTACTTGCTCCTTTAACAATACCCTCGGGTTGAGAAAAAGCGATGGCACTATACCACCACCACACGATAAGTATATTGTCGGAAGAAAACATCTAGATCATCTGATTCCAACATCTGATACTGCGGTCTCCAATACTCCGGTTAAGTGTAACAATTACGACAAATCTCCCCCCCCCCCTTCTTTGAAAAAATTACAAGTCCAAAAGAGGACTGTCAAGTAAGTTTAATTTGAAAGCCAACCTAGTGGTCAATATGCTAGTAGTATAGAAGCGCTTACTTTCAACCAGCTTCTGTAAACTTTTTCTCATGACGTGAATGTTCCCGATGCCCATGAACTGAAACTTGATGTTCTCGTAAAACGCCTCGTTTTCGTAGCCCTTGCCCGCAGCGCGGTTAACCATCGCGTTGATCTGCAATATAACAAATGTTTATCATAATTTATGTGAGATGATTTCAACCAGAGATTACAAACCAAACAAAATTACCATAATTTTAACGTTCCAAACGATAAGTAACCGGTATTCAGCAATTCTGACACTATTATATCCGCTATCCCGTATCGCTCCATGGATGTCGTAAGAATCGACAGACAGAAACAAATCGTCTTTCCAATAACAATTAAAATAAAACTGCGATTGTCAACCCACGTCTCGTAAGTGGTAACCGTAGACAGATAAACCTATAGACTAATGATTAGCGTGGCCTCGAGTGAGAAAGGACGATAACTTAGTTTTAGGTAATACAATAATCTTTATGATTTTTAAACATATTTAGATAAAAATTTTAATTGTTCTAAGAATGAACTGAATAAGATTCACCAATCTCAAAATAACAAAGCTCACAAAACATTTTTTTTCTAACCTAAACCAACTTGTAAACTCCTTACATCGCTACGAACTGTCAAAGTTGTTTAGCAAAGTGTAGTTTGCTAATTAAAAAAACCGGCACGGAGAAAGGGACAAAAAATCACACCGCTCTGTCTCATTTCTATGCAAGACGTATGCATAAATCTATCTTTTTCGTGTGCGAATGCGAAAGAAGGCGTCAATTTGTCTATAGGTTTCTCTATCTACGGTGGTAATTATCGCAAATATTTCCCCTATGATGTAATATATGGGGAAGGCCTATGTTCAGCACTGGAATTTTATAGCCTGTAATGGATGAATGGATAGATTTGGACTTATTTCGACTTCATATTTAATTAAAAAATAAATATATGAGCTACTGCTGGTTCTATTCTTCAGTATTTTCATGACATATTTATGAAATTATTGTTTCATTTAACTGTAGGTACTAACTTGATGGAGCGTGAATAAAGCTAATAAAACGTTGTGAAAGATATTTTTTCTCCTCTTTCTTTTGGTCTCAAGTCCAAAGGTATCGTTGGTACTGTCTTCTTCTTTTTCGGGAACGTTTCAGAAATATCCTGTATAATCAACCAACACGCCGTCAACTTACTGACTTACAGAGTGCGGCGATAACGTCGCAATTGAATCGGACAGCGTAACTAAACGCATTGTCGCCTCTAATACGTAGAACATAATAGCTCAATGCCTCTGAGGACTTAGGTGGAATGCCTTACAGTCTGTAATTATACTAGCTCTCTACACTATTCAGAACGGAACACAGAAGCGCAAGCACTTCTATTTGGCGGTAGACTCTTAGACAGAAAACTAAGTCCTACCTACCTGGTATGTCTTATGTTGCAATCAACGTTATGACCTACAGTGGCGAAGCTTCCATTAAAGCCGAAAAGGGCTTGCCTTATTAAACCTGAATCTCAATAATATCAACTAATAAAGTAACTCGTAAAATGTTTCAAGCTATTTCAAATTTCCCGTGCACTCCAGTGTTCGACACATGTCGACCGATGACCTCGTATTGCCTTAGCGATACTGCTGCTGTCATAAAAAATGAGTTTTAATAGAGCTAATAGTTGTCTCCCTCGCTCGCGTGGGCTTTTTACGGGGCTTTCGAGAAGACGATCGCTCTCTTTCTAACCTATGACAAAATATTCTATAATTAAATATAACTACGATTTTATATACAGCAATTAGTATAGAGATTTAAAGCCAGGCTTTTGGGAATAAATTTGTTAAAAGCGGAGGCGTGCGGGCAATACGTTTGCAAGTTCATTTCACGTTTCAATGTTTATTTACTCTGTGTGCTTATCTTAAGCGATTTAATATTACGAGTTCAAAATTTATGCTTTTTTAAAGATTTTTAATGAAAATGGAGGATAATAGTATTCCTTGTGATGAATTGAAGTGTGTTAAAGTGATAATCGGAGAGGAAATCTTTAAACTTTGTTGAGATAATACACAAGGTTAAGAGTGTATTTCAGACTTATCAATTATCGCAATTAAATTCAGTTATTGGTACAATTAAAACGTTCACCAACATTTTACGTGGACGTAATTAAATCTTTCCATAAGAAAGCGAGACGATTTCACTAATCTTATCTTATCTCTTATCCATTAGAATGTAAATAATTTTTTTTAATTTTGTACTTCTTTGTACTTTGTTCGTGTTTTACTTTTGTTCATGTATTATATTGGATGTAAATATTTTTTTCTTTCGCTTAAACAAACCCAAACGGCTTTCTTCAAAGCCACCGAAGCTATGCAATTGCTGATATGTAATACAATCTATCTAGCAGTGGTATGCCTTCTATGTGCTTTGTTAAACACGTCCTTGACAGCACTGAAAGAACGACGTAGAGATATTTTTATCAATTTATATCTTGGGCTTGCCCTAGCTTGGAGCTCTAGCTTCGCCACTGATGACCTAAACATAAAGCTATACTACAATGCCACAAAGGCTTATCTCTTCCATTTGTAACCAAAAATATTTCAGAATTTTACGGTTCTAAAATCATAAAACATCTTAAACTAATGGAACCAGAACCGGAATTGTGTCAAAATTAGGACTTTTTTTAAACATAAATGAGGAACCGTATCAAAACTCAAATCCGGTTTTTAATCTCTGTACCAAAGTCTTTCAGGCTCAAAGTCAAAGGGGAAAACTTCAGTCTCGTTGATGGTGTGCTTTATTTTTATATTATCACTTCGATCGTAACATCTATAAGAACGCGGGTTCGAAACCTGCACGGAACATGTTATGTGACATACCCTGTTAGTAGTCCATGTTAAATTTATTTATGAAAAGGGTGTAGTGTAATTAAGTGAAGCAGTAAAGTCTACTATTAGACATGGGCACTGTGTAGAGATTTGGCAGCCCGATTGACGATTGTAGTACCAGACGTCTCGCACCTTCCCCGCTGCCCGTCACCAGTTAAGCAGTACCGATATCTGTTGGGGGTAGTCGGTGAAGTAAAGGCATGTATAGGAGAGCGTGTATGCCGTGATACTTTTGATTGATGGCAATTAACGCAAGTACGTGCCCATTGTCGACAGTCTTTGCGTATATTAGGCCATACGTGTCTTGCTGTCAACAGCTTAATCATGACTCTCGCACTTGGCTGAATTAAGTCGTGAAATATAATATATGCCTTTCTGGCTTAAAAACACACAGTCGACTCTTACGACACCCACGAACCCACGAAAAAAAAGACATGGGTTGATGACAGAAACAGAAATATTTACGCAGTTGAATAAGGGATATATATATAAATATATATATATATATATATATATATATAAAAACCACTCACCCTGGGCCTGGTGTCTACAACATACATATAATCGCAGTTGGGGTTTGCCCGGCGAATAAGATCGAGCATTTGTTCGTCTTCCATGCATCTGCAATAAAAGCAATAAATGTCTTTCTAATAAGATTAATCTGTTATTTAATTAACTGGTGGACGGATGAAATAGAAGTATGATTTTTCTTTTTACACTAGTCACAAAAATTAAGGGATATAAAAAAAGAACTTTTTTACTTTGATTGGCGATAACTCCGACAAATTAAATTTCTTAAAAAAGCTTTCTAGTGAAATAATGAAAAACAAATTTTAAAGCCCGTAGACCTTTCTAAGACCAGCAAAAATGTGATTTCTTTTTTCGGTAACTTGCTTAGGATCACTCCAGAACCAAACGATAAAAAAATTTCATGGCCAGATATGAAAACTAGACACTGAGAGCAACCAATAAGCATTATTTATTGCTGTGCGGTCATTTTCCTCGGAGTTACAGCTTGATGAAAATCAACCAAAAAAAAATTGAGTATTCTTTTACATCCCTTAATTTTTGTGACTAATGTATTATAAGCTATCACGTGTTAATTATCGACCATCTATGATAATTTTACTTTTTATATAGAATAAGGGTGACAAGCGAGCACACAATGATGGTAAATGAAAATGTGGCCCATAGACACACATATTAATATTATATCGTCGATTAAGAATCAAAATTTAAATGTATTGTCACCCTTTAGAACTAAGATGGAATACATCATTTATAGTAATATGGTTGTCCGGTTCTCAACACTTACGATACGAAACACCGAAGTATAAAGCTCCTATTTTACGCTGATATTCTGTGAGAGCTTAGTATTTCCCCGAGCGAACCGACATATTGTGTTGCACTGTAATCTTGTTTGTGTGAAATAATATAGGTACAGCGTGGCTTTACTACATTGTTAGCCTTTCTAGTCTCTTCGATTACGACGAAATATGATCAAATCAAGCTGATTAAAGTATCAGAGACATGCCAACAGTGACAAACTAAGATTAGACTTTGTTGATACGACCTTGTTCAATTGTTAACGCTAATATAAAACTATTAAAAAAAAGTTAACGTCGACTACCAAAACTAAAACGAATAAAATAATTTCTTCTTTATAGCTTCCGAAGTCCACCCCTGACTTCAGCAGCCATTATGTGGGATTTATTTAATTTTTATTGTTTTCATCATCACTTCCATGGCCTAAAAAAACACTCTCCGTAATGAGAAGAGGCCTGTGACCAGCAATGGGACTTATATAGGTTGTAACTTTTAATGGCAAACCTAAACGTAAGCAGCAAGGCCCCGTGTGAGGACGGAATTACAGCGAAGCTTCTGAAAGCGGGTGGGACACAACGTGGGGCAAAAGTGCAGTGGTCTCGTTCTTCAAATAAGACGTCAATGACTGTAATGATTAATGATGATGATTAACATTTAGCATTGTAGAAAGTCAACTTGGTTAACCCCACAGGGTCCATATCTTACAAGTCAACATCATCATCATCTTTATCATCATCACCATCATCATTACTGCCTTTCACAAGTCCACTACTAAACAAGGCGTTCGTTAAAGAATGCCTCAAAGCACGGTCCTGAGTCACCTTCAACCATCGACTTCCTACACGTTTTATCAGGTTGTCAATCCATCTAGTGGGGGGGTAGCTCTACATCGGTACGATGCATCAACTCGAGAACCTTTCCTTTCCATCGGTTGACGGTTCTTCGAGCAATATGGCCGGTCAATTGCCACTTCAGCCTGCTACCGTTGTGCTGTAATGTGGGGGGTCAATTACAAGCGAATTAGTGTACCTGGCTGAAAATCCGCTGAGCGGCTGACTGCAGCGCGTAATGGCCGCCTTGTTGTGGTGAAGGTAGGCCAGCACGGGCAGTCGACCACGAGAACGGAAACTGGCACTGCCCAATAATATCGCAGTAGAAGCTCGAGCTGGGACGTACACCTCGCTAGGATATGTGTCACAGAGCTAAAGGAAAAGTGATACAGTTTTACAGGAAATTATTTGTAGCTTAATAAAGACCGAGCCATGGTAGCACAAGTCGTGGTAGCTCAAGGGTTAAACGTTTGTCGTAAATATATTAGTACGCGAGCAAACGAGGTTTAATCCCTGTCGGTACCAATGAAATTGTTAATTAAAGTTTTAAGGAAAACACCGTGAGGATACCCGCACGTCCGAGAAACGTACAGTCCGTCCAGTGTGGACATTTCCTTGCCCTACAACCCTCTCAGAAATTAGAGAGACACCTTTGCCCAGGAGAGGGACGTATATAAGTTTAACTTTTTTAAGTTTAAAACCAAACCAGCGAAGCGACAGTGGCCTAATGGCAAGACGCGGACCGCGAACTCAAAAAGGTCGTGGGTTCGAATTCGCCATTCGACTACTGGCGTGAACCACTCGTAACACATGCAATTTAAGCTTACCACGACTTAAGTTTTACCAAGAGTTAAGGGGAATATTAATAATTTTTACAGCATTATTAATATTCTTTTTAAAAGAATAAAAAAATAATAGATAGTTTCATCGTTACCATTTGTAATGAAGTCCCTTCTTCGTTCTTTGGATCGGTCAGTAACAGTTCAATGCTTTACATGAACTTTATATTAAGAATATGCCGTAACAGCCACGCTTGACAAGCTGGTAATCGCAGTGTCAGATATATTCCCATTTTCGACGACTTTTCTTTGCGCGACCGTGGTCTTTTATCCGGCACTGTCGTGGTTCCGAGACGATAATATGCTGCAGCAAGGTTCTACTATGTAAAGTTATAAGAACGGGGTGAGTTCGCATTAATTTTCATAGTATCAACTCGAATTTTTTCCCACAGCACTCAATAAGTAACGACTTTAAGAGTTGATGGCCCGTCAGTAAACAAAGACATCATGAAAAAGCTAGAATAGCTCCGGACGTCTAGTGGTCACAAGCGCGAGCGGTCCCGGGTTTAAACCCGAGGCGGGCCAAAATACTTTAATGGCTTTTTCTGTCAATAAACTCTCAATAGCAACCCGGAGTGTGGAAAGTTTGTGGTGTTTTATCCCCTTGCCACGAAATGCACGAAGAGCCGTTGGTCCTGTGCACGATCGCTCTCCGGTCGTATCAGATTGCCGTCCCATCAGCCTATGAGAATCAGACAATAGAGAGCGCAACGATGCTTGCGCAGAACCTCGTGCACTATAATATTGTCTTGCGCAGAAGTCTAATGTCCATTGAGTCTGGCCTGGCCGAAATTCGGCCTGGCGACAACCTTTGACAAGTCCACAGGTGAACATAGGTCAACATTAATCTATTTTCTGAAAGAACTCATCAGATCGTTACTCCTTTCAAAGGAACGTTTTGAGATCAAAATACAAAATTAAAATATAACCTTAATACCTCATAGTCTTTATTTGCATTACACAGCACCCAATGCTCGTTGGGCACGTTCATGCGCTGGTACTCCGTCTGAATGTCGAAAAAGTTCCAGCCCGCAGATTTAGGCAGATCGTCTGGCGTTGACTTATAATGAAAGCAGTACAACTCTTCTATGTGAACTAAAACAGTAGAAACCATGATGGTGGATTCATTAATATTTGTGATACCACAAAACTTTATATTCGTTACGCCGCGGCAAAATTTTAAGGTTAAAATTTTTACAGAATCAGTATGGAAAGTAAAAGAAACAATTTCATCAAAGAGAAATAGTTTAGCCTATTCTTAAATGATGAATTTTGAAAATGGTTTCGTCTAGTCAGCTATTCGACTCATTTCTATCACAAGATATCATCTCGCTTGAAGTACTATAAGTAAATACTACTAATGAGGAGTTCCAATCGTATTATTAATTGTATGTACATATAATATGTATACGTTTTAACAAATTTCTCGCATATTTGAGTCTAATTACTGAAGATTATATATTAAATCTTATTGTATGTATTAACAAATTTCTCGCACATTTGACGCTAATTTCAGACGACGTTCTGAGTATACCAATATCTTGTATAAATACGAGCTATGCCATTATTTATCAGTCATAAGATCTTTTTGGTAAGGGATTCGCGGTTTTTGTACCACCCAACGGATAACATAGAAACATAATGTACATAAACATTCAACATTTTTTTCAACAACGATTATCATCTTGAATAATTCAACCAACCTAAACTTTACAAAAGCTGAATTCTAATTAAAATATCAGACTCAACACAGCAACCGCAAAACTTGTTATTTCATCTCGTTCGGGATCTTATAATCTTTTTTTCTCACCTGGCTGACTAAGTCGCAATAACGTCTGGTGCATTTCGTGGCAGTCTCTCTCCCTCGGAATAACGAAAAACACCGATTGGAAGGTCTTCGTGCGCACCAAAAGCGGAGAACCAGTCGTGGTGATTGGGAGACGCTCTACTGATGATATATGCATAAGGAGTATCTGGAAAATGAAAATGAAATGAACAGCCGAATTATAAAACGGAATGGTAGAAACTGTGTGTATGACACGTTCATCTCCACCTCGTCGTCTCATTTATGGCCACATCATTTATGGCTTAGTATTCATCAAATCCACTCCGTAAGGAATAGTGACGTTGTATGTAGTGGTGGCAGTGATAGAACACACAATTGTAGAGGGGAGGGTGGTGTTTTTCAAAAATGGACACACCATTAATTTTGAACCGTTTAATCAATCTTTACATAGTACTTATGTCACTTTAGACAAATAAATGTTATGACTTTAATTTGCCTACAGTCATAGATGCCAAGACGGCTATTTCGTTTCTAGAATAATAGACTTATTAGCTGAGTTTTCGGCACACAAACGGAAAACTTTCCAACTATGCTCCCTCCATCCCAGTTTAAAGTAGAGCCTCGCTGTATGGTGAAATAGTTGCAGCACGAATAGATTAGCCCGATACGAAGTTTCGCTTAATGAGTATAGAGAACCGGAGACTCTTTTACCGGTAATGAGGCAATCCATCTTAGTTCTCATGGGTGACAGCGTATTGTATATTAATTATTAATTGAAGATAGATGTAGGCTATTTTCTTATAGCGATTTTAAGTGACTTTAGGCCAGACTAACCACTCCCCATCAGGTGGAGTATGTGCTCGTTTGTCATTCTTATTCTATAAAAACGAATTTACCATGCACTTGATGGTAATCGACAACTTCAAACAAAAAAGGCTACTTTTGCGTTGCCAGGTTTCATGACAAAGATGGAATACCTCACAGACTGTAATTATATTGACTCTACACCTTCCAGACCGGGATACAGCAGTGCGTGCACTGCTGTTTACCGACATAAATAGGTAAATTAGCGGTCCCTACCACTGTAGTGTAGGGTAGGTGTAGGCTGTAAGGCATTTCATCTTAGTCCTCAAAGATGATATTTTCAATTAAAAAAAAACCAGCACGTATTTAACGTTCGAACGATCAAGTAAATTAAATAAAAGATGCAAACCCCTTTGCAATCGAAAATTAGACACTTAACCTTGTGTCTAATTTTCGATGCTGATTTTCAGTGTGCTTATTACATGGAGAATATTTACACCTGCTTTCTTTGCTACAACATTCTTGTTTAATTTTTTTTATTATTATTATTGCGTGTTATTCTTTTTAAGTTAACTGTTTGCCATTTATTTTTATTTTATTTTTTTCAAATAAAGGAAATTATTATTAATAGCATTATGACGTAACATATCTTGCATTTATAATCGTACTTGTACATATTATGATTGATGTTTTGGATAAAACGCAGATCGATTATGAATGAGCTGAGCGAGATGAGGGACATTTTCCAAATATATAAATTGCGTGGGAAGTGTACACTCTCGTTCGTCCTTATTACTATTATTTTATTTAACGGTAACTCAGCAAAAAACGACTTCAAATCTTTTAAGTTCTCTAAAGTTGATCTTTTAGTTGAACTTTGATTTTTTGACACTTTCAAGTAAACAAAGCACTACCAAAATCTTAAGCTATTGTTTCAAATTTGCATACTCTACTCACCCATGTCTCCTTCCTCATCTCATGATCAACGAATATAAGATGTGTGGTCGCGAAGTATAAGGTCCCCTTCGAAGGATTTCGTACATTGTATTTGTCCAGTAGTTGCACATTCTCCAACTGGAAAAATACAAAAATATGTTGCTATTGTTTCTCTGTACACACAAAAACTAATATTAAATATTTACACCTATTACTCTTGAAGGTTGGTACGACGTATCCTCCACCTCTTCCCGTATGGGTCGTAATATTATGCGTTGGCGATTGCCATGAATATCTCATGGCTTCCGGCAAAACCAATCAAATCTACAATATTTTCATAATACAAATATTGACACAGGTATGGTCCTTGCAATTCACGAGCGCGGTCGACCTTTGGATGTGGTTCGACATATACATGCACAGTGTGACAGTGTGTGTGCCTGACGAAGCGGGCGTACGCTCACGACTGACATTCGTGAATTGCAAGAACTATAACGAATAGCAACTCCTAAGAAGCAACGCGCTGAGCTTGCAGAGTGATGTGGATCATAGACTAGAATAACTACTAAAAAGGACTAGTGATTATGACGTAAAACTTTTCAACTTAGTAGAGACCTATGTCCCCCTGCGAATGTAAATATGTAGACAGTACTGACTAATCCAAAGTATTGAAATAAAACTATTATTTACGGATTTTATCGCGTTTAATTACTTTAATTTATTTTTATTATTATCTCGACGTTTTGATGTTCAGTCACTATTTACATGCCTACCTATTGTGGACTGCATCTCAATTGTAACTAGGAAGCTAGAAGAAAATAACATGCCTCAAGAATATGCAATACTACTTGAACATTGCCTCACATCTGGCTATCTATTGTGGAAGGAGGAGTTCTACAAGCAAGTAGATGGTGTAGCGATGGGCTCACCTGTGTCTCCCATAGTCGCCGACATATTCATGGAGGACTTTGAGGAGAAAGCCCTTCTTACTGCTCCTGTAAATCCAAGGTTCTACAAGCGGTACGTAGATGACACTTTCACAATTTTACCATCTGACAAAGTAACTGCATTTTTAGACCACCTTAACTCCATAAACTCTAAAATACAATTCACAATGGAGTTAGAGGCAAATAATTCTTTAGCTTTCCTAGATGTTTTAGTCATCCGAAATCCTGATAACACTATTGGTCACACTGTGTATAGGAAAAAGACCCATACCAACCGATATTTAAATGGTGAATCTCACCATCATCCTTCACAGTTAGCTACCGTGGGTAAATCTTTGTTTCAGAGAGCACGAGGGATCTGTGACAGAAAACATCTGGCCGCGGAGCTTCAGCACGTCAAGCAAGTATTGCAAGACAACAAGCTTCGGGTCCCGCGCCTACGTCACAGTGAACGAGTGAAGCCGGCCACAGTCGAGCGCGCGCCTACTCTACTACCATATGTTAGAGGAGTCACGGACAAGATTGGCTACATCTTGAAGCGAGCGTCCATTAAGACATACTACAAGCCGCTGAAGAAGATTAGTCAATTTTTACCATCTATCAAATGTAATATTCCTCTACAAGATGCAGGTGTGTACAAGCTAGATTGTGAATGTGGTCTCTCTTACATAGGTCAAACAAAGAGATCTATAAAAACCCGCGTGAAGGAACATATAGCTGATGTGAAGCACCGACGATCCGGGAAGTCTGCAGTCTGCGAACATGTTCAAGATCGTCCCCACCATTACATTAGATTTGATAAACCACAAATTCTCGCAAAAGAACACCGATTCCTACCAAGGATGATACGCGAGGCTATTGAAATTAAAAAACATCCAAATTTCAATAGAGAAGATGGTTGGGTGCTACCATCTGCTTGGGATCCTATAATTAACAAAATTAAACCCAAACCCAAGCATACCACTGCAAGACTTCATGATACTATAAGCTCGTTTTGCGTAAATCGGACCAAAATTTAATATTAAAAAACTGAAGGTAGCCGGACTAACTATGACATTGGGACGTCAAACATCTCAGTCCCCCCCGTGACCATGGGCGCTGTAAAGCACCCGAAACGTCGGGATAATAATAAAAATAAATTAAAGTAATTAAACGCGATAAAATCCGTAAATAATAGTTTTATTCAATGTGTAGTGTTCGCGTAAATTTAAGAAATCATTATGTAATCCAAAGTAGTCTGCTAAGAAGCTAAGGTATGCACTATCTAAAACTTTAATATGTCGTCAATAAAACACAATAAATACATGGAAATATTTCTCTAAGAACAAAGTTTCGATTACTATCTGTACACGAATCAAATCTATAAAAGCCCAGAGCCCATATATCTATTATAACACAAAGTAGAAGTGACCTAATGAAAATAAAACCCTGTTAAGATTATGTCGGTCCAATAAGATCAAAAAATGTTCGGCTCAGCATTCACTTATACGCACGCAACTTTACTCAAATTGGTGTCATTCAATGACACTGAAGGACTGAAGTCCCACTAATCTATATTTACACTGCCTTGATTAAGAATCAAAATGAAGATGCGTTGTTACCCTTAACGTCCAAACTGGAATACCTCATTATGAGTATCAAAGGAATCGATTATCTTCACTTACTAAGGAAAAGAAAGCAGCATCACGCTGTTGGCCTTGGCGTAAGAATATCCACTACCCCATATCGTCCCGTGGTAAGAGGCAACGGTGTAGAATGAAACAGTGAATGGGCAGCAGCATCGCTCGATAACTAAAAGTCGGGTTGCCAACACGCCTGCCAAGCGTAGCAAATACGGCTAATGTTCTGGCTGGTGTTCAACAGTGGACGTTTATAGGTTTTAATAGTTTGGTATGATATTTTGTGAGTTTGTTCCATCCCGGTCGCGCCATCCTAGTTCTGCAACAGCCAAAATAGAACTGCTATTTGGTTTTCGGCGAATAAGACCTTACATCATATTTATAGCGGTATAATATACCTTACTTTCCAGCTGTTGTCATTAGCCTTACTACCTACAAACACATATAACATGATTTAAACGAGGTTTCGTGAATGTGAGCTAAAAATAAACACTACAGTCTCCTTTCTTAATCGGACATAATTATTTATTTAGTTTAATCAATATTTCAGCATAAAATAAAAATAATAAGAATAATTTGCGACATGTTATTTCATCGCAATCAAATTTTTACCAGTCATTGGTATTACATTACACATTACATAGTACAAAAATTGTCTTATTGTATGTTATATATTGTATGTTTGTACTGAATCTTCCCAAAAGAAATAACAGTTCGCTTTTATAATGCGAGCAAACTTGTGCAAGTAATAAGAAATCCAAAATCAATAACACTAAAAAAGTAAATGACTAGCTACTTTTTATATTGAAATTGTTTGCTTTTATTAGGGACATTTTTTCCAGTGGCTTTTAATGTCTCCTCCGTTATCTTCTGCAAAGGCTGAAGTAACTGGTCTGCTTGTAGAAGTAGTTCCGTATGACGTTGCTTTAATGTATCTAACGACTCAGTCATACAGATCTCTAGAGATTCACCACCTTTTACTAAGGCTGCACAGATCTTTAACGATTCAACAGCTGAGTAACGCCCTCCCTCATTGCGCAATTTTAAATGAGACAAGAAACGAACGTTAGAGACCCTTGCTTCTTGGACACGGCGTTCAATTGTCTTTTTATAGAGATCTGTAGCCGAATTTAAGCTTTCTTCAAAACGCCGGCGATGATTGGCGAGTCTTTGTGCAAAACTCAGCATTTTCAATCTTTTTGTTTCGACGTCAACTGTGTGAGTTTGAATTTCTTCCATTCCTACTTCAATTTTTCGAATCCACTGACAAAACGGGTATAAGCCTGTATCATCTAAGGTTATGAACTTAGAAGCCTCCATTGGCAAAGTATTAGCCAATTGATTAATTGCCCCTAGGTGCGAAACTAAGCAGGCCTCATTCTTGCATAACTCTGCTATGCGTAAATCACGCGCAGCTTTAATTCGGTCTTTACGAATGTTAAGTGACATCATTTTTAAGGAATGTCGCTTCTTTAATGGCAAAGATCTTTTTTCGACCCATAAACGAATTTGATGTTCTAGTTTTTCTGAGAGTAATGGCAAATTGTTTTGAAAAGATTCCAGAAATCCATTTCTCCAATTATTGAGTGTTTCTTCTTGAACTTCTGTTTTTAATATTAACCGTAAAAGAGATGTCTTCATATTACAATCTGAAATACGTAGACGTGAATCTGATAAATTATCTTCACTTCTGTTTGGTTCTAAATTTGTTTTCGGGTATTTATTGACATAGAAGTCCAGTTCTGCCTGCAGAATATTTGACAAGGGTATATGCAGTTTCGAGATTTCCTCCAATCTCCCTACTTCAGTACAACTGTGATGTAAGTATTCGTCTTCCTTCAGTTTAAGCAATACTTCTAAAGCGTCATAATATTGTTTTAATGTATCTTTATCGTGTGCAGTAACTAATTGTTCTAACGTTATGTTAAATGTTATTTCATTTGCGAGTTCGATAGAGTCGTGTCTACTTATAAGATCTTCAACAGCAGCCAGTGTTAGTTTTTGTGCGAGAGCCACTCGAATCATGTGCGCGTCCCATAGATGGCTAGCATCATGCAAAATATTGTATGTATATGTGAGTTGTTTTCCCACCGAGTTCAAACTTTTGCTTATCATATTAAAACAATCAGCTAATTCAGAAAAGTCAGGATACGGAGGCACTTTAGTCTGGACACTAATTGAAGATATTCTTTGTGTTTCTCCAACAATTTGATCTAAAACAGAGACTGAGACATTATTTGTGCAACAAATTTTATTTTGTATGAAATTACGGATACCCATATTTTTATAAAATTCTTTAAGTTTATCCACAAAATTCATGTAGACATTTTTAATTGCATTCTGATATTCCTCTGATAACTCAAAAACACAATCATCTATTTCTTTCGTATTTATTGAAGCATGGTCAGTAAAAGTATTGGTAGAAGTTACTTTAGAAATAATAGCACTACCAGATCTCTTTTGAATGTTGTGATTGTTGCTACATTCGGAAAGAGCACTGCCTCCACGTTTTATGATCTTCACTCCTAGGCATAACTGATTAAGAATAGAACGGGCTTTTACCATGCTTCGATTTGCTTGAGCACGCAGCTGTATCTCTAATTCACTATACGCTGCGCAATTACTCAATAACTGTTGATTGACATTATAAATCTTCTCGTCACATTCCTGGAGCAATTCTTTTGAGGATCGATGACCTACAGAAATTATGCGATGATAATGGTCGTGAAGGATATTTCTTAGAGCGTTTGCACGTTCTTTTTCCAATCGTAGAGCATCCGCTTTGAAACTACTGATATCTTGAACTCTTTTTAAAATTAATTCAGTGATTTCTTTTAGAGCAGTAATGCGGCTTTCGCCTGATAAAGTACCGTCAGTTAAATCCAGTTTTTTGAAAATACAATCTACGTCATGTTGATTTTTGTTGATAGTGCAGAGAAGTGTCTCTGCAAGGACGCGAATCTTATATTTAATATCTTCATTAATTTTATCTTTACTATCTTCTAGTGATTTAAGCATTTTAAAATAACTTTCTTTTTTTTCTTTCATATAATTGACAAGAATCGACCCACATTTTCTAGGCGTCCAATGACAAGGTAGTACAGATACTGCGGCCGCATCGTCCGTACAAAAAGCTAAGGAATTATTAATTTTTTGATTTTTATAACAAGAGCAATGAAACTTATTTTTTTTATTAAAACTGTAGTTTCCATATCGAATCATACTAAAAGTGTAATTAGTAATTTATAAAAACGCTATTGTTGACATATTAATGACAACTAATTTTTGTCAAAATTTTACCAGAGATAAATTTATTTCTGTTTTATAACATAGATAATACACAAAAGTGTTCGTGGGGATGATAGGTTCTATAAAGCACTGAAAACTTGCTTGCATATATAGAGGTCAATGACTGAAAACATTGGCAATATTAGTTTTATAATAATCGCTTAGTTTAAGAAATAATTAAAGCAAAATCTAACCTATTTGGAACTTTTTATAAAAAGTTTAATTCGCCAAACGATAGTAAAAAAGACAGGTCTATTTAGCTTTGTGTCAATCCATGCTGACATTAGTTCCTGGGGTGGTGCTTCTAAAACAATATTGCTCCTACTAGAACGTGCTCAGAGAGCAGTTCTAAATGTAGTCAATTATCGTCTTTTCATGTTTCCTACACATAAACTTTACTTGGCATGTAGTGTACTAACTGTCCCTCAGTTGTTTATTCTGAACATCATGTTAAAACAGCATACCGAACTTTCATTTAATTTAAAATCCATAGACAGAATATAAGAAAGAGAAAGAAAATAAGAAGAATGGACTTAGTTTGTGTAAACCCTCAAACCAAACACTCATTTGTAAACAGATTTTACATATTTTTAGGACCATTTCTATATAACAAGCTCAACAACTCACTAAAGATATATTGTACTGTAAGCTATAAGAAATTTAATACAATTGTAAGTGAGTTTCTGAATAAATTAAATTACGAAGACACAGAGAAGTTGTTGGAAATTTTAAAATAGTTTTGTATTAATTGTGGGTTACAAATAATTGTTATTTAGTTATTTTCTTTATTATTTAATATTGTTCAGTTATTTAAATTATCTTATATCCCACATTATAAAACCCATAGTGTAAGTGATGGTCTGAAACACAGGTACTCAACCTAGTTCACAGGCAGGTAGCTAATAGATATTATAAACTTGACTTTTCAATTTTTCTTTTGTAGATGGTTTAAGAGACAAATAGACGATAAAATGTACAATGTTACGAGCTTGCTAAAAGAATGGTTGGGCGCAAATGGTATTATTCTAAATTTTAATAAAAGCATTGTAATACATTATCAATCGAGGCTAGGCATTCGTGATTACTCGACTACAAAAGAAAAGGTATTTTTAGGATATACAATAGATAGCACAATAAGCCATAAAGCTCACATTGAAAAAATTTGGAAGAAAATAGCACACTCATATCTGTGCCTACATTCATTCTATAATAAGATATGCCATTACTATTTGGGGTAATGCTCCGGATATTATAAGTTTTAAAATGTCAAAAACAGTTCATACGAATAATCAATGGTCTGAAAAAAGTAGCCCGGCAAGAAAACATTTTAAGAAAGCCGAAATAATGACAGTGGCTTCGCTTTATAAATATAATAGTTTATTACAGTTACAGGAAGATAAAGAAATACCGAAAAATAAAAACATAAATCAACACAATCTGCGTAATAATGAAAAACGTGTTCTAAATAAATTGGTAAAAGTAAAAACACATGGGCGTTACTCAAAAATATTGATGTATAATAAATTACCAAAAAGTTTAACCAGCCTAAACTATAGCAAATTTAAACTGAAACTTAAGTATTTTTTTGAGAATAACCCATTTTAAAAATTAGGCGAATACATGTCAATGCAACTCACGGAATCATCATTCTTATGTAACGTGCAAACAAAATAAATTACCTAATTCTATGGCGTAAAGTGTCAATGTAACTAAATTAAGCTATATACTACAATATCATAATTTAACCTTATAAATTTAAGAACTTTTGTAACCAATGACTTGCCTGTAACGATTGTTATATTATGGCCAATAAATATTTCTGATTCTTGTTCCAGTCTACATTATTAAGTACACATAGTTTTAATTTTATTATTGCATGTTATTTTTATTAGACTTGTTGTTACTTTCTTTAATTGTAATCATATTTGTTCCTGTATGTAAACATGTATTTGATAATGAAATAAAAATAAAAATATAGCTTTCCTTGGTAGAGGCATGCTCAACAAAAAAAAAGGGTAACCCGTGACCCAGCGAAGTGAAAAGGTCAAAGATGGTAACTAAATTTATTGTTTTATTTCCGTTCGTAAAATAGGGTGGATATGATTTGAATTTCGATAGATTTTAATTTATTTATTTATTTCATTCAACATTTTTGTTTTTATTTATTGTAAAATATCAGTACCATACGCTTCTACTTCGTTCACATGTTACACTCTATGAGTATTCAACAAACTGGAGAGGCCATGCGCGTTAATTCCTAAACAAAAAGTCTGACACTTTCAACGGTGAGCGAGGAAAACTCACTACTGTCAAAGAATATATACACTACGCGAAAAGAAACGACACTTAAGCATGTGTACACGTAAAATCGCTTGCGGCTATGTGTGGGTGTCTGAATGTGTGCGGGGGCCTTGAGAGGCGCGCGGGGCGTGGAACGGGCAGTCGCCGACTGCCCTGGTCGAGGGCTAGTAGATAGTAGTAATACCGATATTTGTCAGTATTAGTTAATATGAATGTATTCGTCAAGTGATATAATATTTCAATTAATATATGATTATTACTGATATGTTAATGTACATATTACTATTCTATTCATGTAGGTATTAAGTTTATGTTACTAAGTAACGTTATTAGTTTTTATAGCCGTGTATGCTAGGTTTATATGCTTTGATAAATATTAATGTTGTTATTAAATAAATGATATTATAGTATATATAAGTATTACTGAAAGTGATTTTAAGTGATTAGAATTAAAATAAATTCCACTGCACAAAACAAGGGCCCTTGTTTTGTTAGTTTAATTTTTAATAATGTTTTATGATACCTAAAAATATATGAACTCATTTTAATGAAAGTCGATATGATCTTAACAAGAATTATGGGGAAATACCATGACAATAAAACTAATATATCGCCAATAATTTTATTGTATTACATTAACTAAAATATACACTATTGTCAATTAGATATCTATGAGTTTTTGTGTTGTTCATTTATTTGTATTTATGGATTATTCATTAGCGACTTATCTCACTCAACACGCAGAGACAATTTGTTGGCCGCCATATCAGCCTGCATACCTTTGGAAGGGCCCTTGTTTTGTTAGTTTAATTTTTAATAATGTTTTATGATACCTTATATGAACTCATTTTAATGGTCGATATGATCTTAACAAGAATTATGGGGAAATACCATGACAATCTAATATATCGCCAATAATTTTATTGTATTACATTACTTTTACTTCACTATTATAAATACCACTAGAGAGTCAAGACATTTTAGATATCTATAAAGAGTTTTTGTATTTGTTCATTGTTGTATTTATGGATTATTTCATTAGAAATAGAACGACTTATCTCCTCAACACATAGGGAACAATTTGTTGGCCGCCATGTCCCAGGAAACCTGCATACCTTTGGAAAAAAATATACATAATTTTTGCAATTGTTAGAAATAATAATGAGAATTAAAAAATTTATCGAAAAATTCAAAAATAGATAAGAGTTTATTTTTAAAGGATAGTAGGTAATACTGATTATTGCGAACTGAAATAAGTGTTGGTTAATTATTTAAGATTACCATTAACTGTCGTGCATATTTGGTTTTGTCGGAAGTTTTAATATCCTCCATTTAATAAAAGTTGATTTAAAATTAAATCTTTCACTACCCAAATACATAAGTTTACATAATATATAACACATACCTACTATGTATCTTTTTTGGTAAAAGTCTATAATATTTCATTTCAGTTCGATATCAACCCTAGCGTTACACGCTTCGACTCAAGGTCACCGGCGCTTAAGCTCTCACGTACAGAGAGTGTCACCGCTGTGCTACTGTATACTTCACTACAAATGAATTGAATCTCATCACTATACACACTACAACTTTTAACTTTGTGTTCATTGCATACCATCAAATTGTACATTTGTCGATACACTAGTACTGCCGTCTAATGCGTTAGCAACGTAGGGCGAGAACTATGTTCATATTTTTATCGATAAGTAATTCATCATAGTTTGTATAAGTTTTGCGTTGGTAAAAGTGATTTTTAGTATTTTTTCATTTATTACAGCCCTTCAAAAGTCTACGGCTGAACAAAGGCCTCCCCCAACAAACGCCACTAGACACTGTCCTGAGCCACCTGCATCCATTGACTTCCTGCATGTCTTATCAGGTTATCACTCCATCTATTGGGGAGTTGCCCTACACTTCTCTCAATTTCCTCCGTTCTCAATTTTAATGCCGTCAGCGCTTCTTTAGTAAACCCTGGTCGGTCATTGAGGATACTGTACCACTTAATTAATGTCCGTGGTGCAGTACCTATATTTTCTAGTATGTTTGTTTTCTTTATTTATCAAAGATGTCTCTGTCAGCAAACCTAGTATTTCTTGCAAACTTGCAACTTTTTTCTTTAAATACCGTTACTGCGTTAAAGAAGAAAATACGTTACTGCGGTTAAAGCCTCTTTATGCTATCGTTTTTTTTTTTATTTCGAGGCGTCTTTTTATTTTAATTTTTCTTGGTGTACAGTCTGTTCACTTAGATACGGTCGCCGCTTCAGCACGTGCCGCATTTTATCAAAGGCGCGACATTAAAGTTTGTTGTAAAGCAGCCGAAACGTCAGGAATCAAATGTCAAAATTAGACGTGATAAAACCCGTGAGATTAGTTTCATTTAATGTGTAGAGTTCGCATAAATATAAGAAATCGTTATTGTCAACTTAT